AGGCTGTAATGGCCTCCCGTCTACTGGGAGATCTCACTGGGAACCCCACTTGTTCCCATGGCCTTGTTGCGATGAACATGCTAGAGCGCCAGGCCCCTGACTCCTTGCTTAGCGACTTGTCCTTGCCCTGTGGTCTCGCAATGATCAATGGGGGGATACGAAGCTCAATGCAGAGGACGAAGTAACTGGCAGTCGGTCGGGTTTTGAACTCGTCTTTGCCAGTACAGGGTCTAGGCCAGGGTCCAGCAGTGTAAGGTGTCGAGGTATGGTATTGAGGTATGGTGTTCTTCTTTGGGCAACGATTGGCGAAAACAGGTGCAAGTTTCCGGCCCGTCATAGCAGGACTACATCCTCTGCCCCACCCACCCCCCCCCCCCCCAAATAGTCTCGATAATTATGATAGTCTACACCCTTGCTTCACAAACCCAGTTCCCACACTGTACATAGGGGTCCTCCTTCACTGCCGGGGTTTGGGACCCATGGCCATGAGCATCTTGGGCTTACAATTGGTACTTGCAGGCTGGAGTAGGATTTCAGGCTTAAATGAAAGACCTTCCGTACCCTGTAGGATCCACCTGATAGCAACATTCACATAAGCCTCCTTCTAAACTCCCGAAGACATCCGATAACAGGCGCCCCCTGTGATCTCGGGCGGCTTATGGGGCAGTTGCCTGTTTTAAGCCAGCCCTCGGCCCACACGATCTGAAACCCAAACCAATTTGGAGTATTGTCAAGCCCCTACACCCGCAGCACCTGGGTACGACGGGCCGAACTTCACACACTCCTCCTCCTTGCGGGCGGTGCGAGGTTTGGGCCCTTCGTTTCGGGTCTGCTACAGGCCCGTGCAGATACAATCGCTTAGGAGAACTTGGAAGAACTGGGCATCAAGGTCGGTTAAGCTTGAGCGTGCATAGGCAGGTTCGTTCCGTACTGAAAGGCCCCCGGATAGGAGCAGAACGAGGGCTAAAAGGCACGGAAGGCTGCACCTCAAACAGACTCAGCGCCGGACGTGAGGAAAGCACGGACGAGGGCAGTTGTGCATGCCGGCATTGTGGAAGTAGGCCTTCTGGCTCTGCAAAGCAAGGCGCACGGCGGGTGTCAGCCGGACTTAAAAAAAGGTTTGCATCGACGCCTAAAACCCTGAAGCTCTTGGCGCCAAGGCCCCCCCCCCCCCTACCCAAAAAAAAACTAGTTGGTACCCTGTGCAATCGACGCAAAACGCCGCTGCCTTTGGCTCTCAAGCCCCAAAGTAGAAGCCCAAGGCCCTCAGCGTCTGAGCTTCGAGAAAGAAAGGTCTCCGACTGCGGCCCGCTCCTCTAAAAACATATCCACTCCAAAAAAAGCACTTTGACTTGACATGTTGGCGGTTGACCTCGGCAAATTTGCGTAAAAGGATTTGGCCCGACAACGCTGCGCACTATTGAGCGGGGAATTCTCTGCACAGGGGGGGGGGAGGGGGAGGGGGGCATACTAAAACAAACGGGTTCAACATTGCATAGCTTAGTGTGGCTTAAGCTGTGGTAAGTGTCAGGGTTGAAGCACGGCTTCAGTCAACAAGGCGTGCCTGGAAGTCGGTATAGGTCGAGTGGATGGTCAGGCCGACGTAGTTGTCTGGGTGCATGGCCTGGGCGGTCTGGTCGTGCCTGAGCCTTTTTTATTTCTGAAGGGTCATGCTGTTGGCTTCAGCAGGGCACGGGAGGTGCCGGGCGAGAATCAGCAGTAAGGTTAGTGCGCTCTGGAGGGTTCCAGGGGTTGGGATCAGCGAGGGTTCAACTAGGATATGCCAGGCGAGATCAAGTGTAGTCTTCCAACCTCAGGGCGGGCACCAGCGCATACTTCAACCACTCCTCTGTTGGATCTCTACCCTCCGATCACACTAGCTCGCCTCATATCTCTTCGACACTGGTTCTAGCAATCGCAAGCTGGCCGCCCGGAGGGCCAAGACGCAAAAACTGCAGCCCTATGCCCGACTCTCCTCAGATCTAAGACCTCGGCGAAGCCCTCGAGCATCGCCTTCTGCACCTGGCGCCCGCCTGGCGGCTGAAGCCAGGCAGTGGACTTACAGCTGCTAGCTGTGGTCACAGCAAAGGTGACTGCTGATGCTGATAGGTAGCAGGCCCGCCACCCATTTGGGATGCAACCCCTAAGCAGTGTCATGGACGCCTTCTGCTGGGCGTTAGCGTGCTCGACAAGCTTGCGGAGGTGCGGGGGGGACATACAAATATCATGCCATGCTCCTCCTCTGCGGAGCGACAAGCAGTAGCCAGTTCAGGATCATGACTGCCTACGGGAAGGCCTGATTTTTGAGCTTCTGGTGGTATGCGCTAAACCCCATCAAAGGGCCCGATCACGCATCAACCCAAGCCCTGCAAAAGTGAACCCTCGGACTAGGACCTCTCACACCCCCGATTTGACTCGGAAGAACAAGAGGCTGAAATCCTGGACCCTAAGCCCAGGCAGTCAAGCAAACTGCACGCATGCACCACCGCGTCTCCAAGCACTGGCTTCGCTCTCTCCCCCCCAGGGACAAAACACCGCAATCCACAACCAGAAACACGTGGGGCAACACGGCCTAAACCCACCGCCCTTTTCAGCACCTGTTCCAAAACACTCAAATGGCCCAGCGCTTTAGGACTGCACGGCTCACGGCCTGCGGGGTTCAGAACGTCTGGGTTCTCGGGTTGCAAGGTCCAACAGTCGAACTTGAACCCGTTTTGCACACTAAACCCTAAACTCTAAACCAATGGGCATGTGGGGATGAGCCTCAGTTCGCGGCTTCGCCTACAAGCAAGCCGGGAGGGCACTCGGTGGTACCAGGGGCATTGACACACTGGTGGCAAGTCGCCGGCCAAATCGCCTGGCTGCACGTTGGGAAGTCGGGGTCTTGCCTCCAAAAGGCCCAGAGTTTTTTCAGGGTTCCGAAAACATGAGGCTGGGATATAGAGCTGAGGGTTTCAAACGGCTTGCGTCGCCGGGCAAGAGAAGCAGGGCAGACACCCTACTTCCCGCGCAGTCGTGCATCCGCTACTTCAGAATGTGTCTGTAACCTGCAACCTGCACCCCCCAAGCTTTAGCATCGCGAGGACGACCATGGACATGAAGAAGATGGCTCTCTTGCCCGATGATGAAAGCTACAATCAGCTACAACTCACATGAAACCAAAACCCCCCAAGACCGACTGTCGGCATGGTCAAGACTTCCCCGAAACGTACCGTTGGCTGGCCATGAAAGCGACCAGCACCACCACGCGCATCAGGTGCATGCCTCGGGCCTTGGATCCCAAGAACATCAAAGTGGTTATGTTCCTTTGCAGAATGCGCGTCCATGCCCCGTCCCTCGTCTCCCCCCTCAAGTCCCTCGCCCCGCATCCCTGAAGGTTGTCGCGGTCAGGCATCGTTGCATGAGCTGGTCGCTTGCTTGTTTGTTGTGCGCCTTGAGCTGGTCGTTGCTGTGTGTGAAGGCCGTTAGCATTCCGCTTGCCACTTTTTGCTATCACGCACCATGTTTGAATTGTTTTTGTTGATTGCCGTTTCAATTACGTACTGGTAGTCTACTTGGTCGTTTGCTACGCTTGCTGCGTTTAAGGCTTTACATTTACACACTGCGCATGAATCACGCCCGTGTTGCAAGTGCATCCGGTCCGGGATGACTGCATCAGCCGTTGCGTTCGAATTTTGCAAAGCCCCCGTGTGCCCCCTTGCTGTCATGAAAACAGTCCTTAAGGACGGCCTCAACCAAACGAGTCTCGAGAAATACCCCACGAAGATCTCCTGTCCCTAAGGGGATTATGTTACACACCTGTCGCAATGGCCGTGCTACTCCTAGGCATTGGCCGTGTGTCTCACACGAGACCGTTACTTCGTAATTACCCCGCTTCACTCGCCCGCGCCGAGAGCTTAGGGTTGAGGGTTTCGACCGTCGGCCGATGCCACAGAGCGAGCAGATTTCGCCAGAAAAGGAACAGGTCTTGCAGCTCTGAACCTATGCAAAAGTGCGGGCTTCTTGGAACCTAAGATGCATGCCTCTTTGGCCAAATGGAAGCTGAGTTCTGCGCAATCATGGCTGGCGACCTTGTGCGCTGCCCTTCTTTGCAACTGGCTTGAGCCGAGAACCGACGTCAAAGGGCGCGATGCGGCTGGTGGTATTTTGCACTTTTGGGATCCTGTCAGCTTTGGAAGTGGGATTTCGAGGGAGAGGGGGGCAGGGGAGGAGGACTTGAGCACTCTCCAACCCCATAACTCCATGAGCACGAGCGAAAAAAATAAAAACTCAGGGCTCGAGCCGCGCTGGGCACGCAACTGTGGCAACTCAGGGAATGCGCGCAAGAGTGCAAAGAGAATGGCCCTTGGCAACTTGGCTTGTGGCCGTGAAAACAGAACGGACCCTTGGCATGTGTTCTTGAGCCTAAGGAAATGTGCATCTGAAACGAAAGACCAAGCATTTAGCCTGTGGGCCTGAAATCCCAGATCCCGGGCTTGAATCGACCGAGAGCTCTGTTTGCGCACAGTCGGCCGGAGCATCCGACGGATCAAACACCCTATAGGCCCAGCAGCCATCACGGAGCTGGACCTGGCGAACATCTCCTTAAGAGATTCTTCGGATCAGGGTCTCGGTTTTGATAGCGCGCCGTGCTCTAAAAGCAAAGCGTCGTCCAGGCGCTTGAGTTCCGGCACTGCAAAGATTCAACTATGAAGGCGCGCTCCAAGAAAACAGCTTGCTCATGCTCGCGAAGCTGCACCGACGTGATTGTTCTTTTGCTGTTCGGGTGCGGTAGCAGACACAGGGGCGAGACTGTGCAAAGGTCAGTGCCGGTGCTTCACGAGAATGAGTAGGCGCCATGTGTAGGTCAAGGCAAGCCTTGATCTTAAAATTTTTGTATAACCATGGCACTTTCATGCAACCAGATAAGCCAAAGCCATGGAATGCCGTGGACCCGCCTCTTTAACTAAAGAGAGGCGCTGCAGCAACGTTAGGGCTGCTAGGGGGCCTGCTAGGGCGCCTTAGGGCCGCCACCACCAATAGCCGCAGCCACAACAGCTGCAATAATCCACCAAAACTGGTCGAGTCACAATGCTCCCGTCCGACAAAATCTCACCCACCACAAAGCCTTGCTCTCTTCCGTCACATGACCAGCCACCTGCAGATCAGGGTTTCGACGTCTGGGCTTGCACAGAACGTGAGTACTAGCACGTCCGGCTGTGGCCGGAACAAGCTCGGCGCCTCCCCCTCCCACAAGCCAGTTGTTGTTGGGGTAGATGGACGTAGTCGACTCCTACACAGCGGTCTCTTCCGAGTGTTAGGCACTGAGGTGCCTGGGTTTGTTAGGTTTGCGTTCGTGCAAGGTTCGTTCAGGTACGCAGGCGGCTTTAAGGGGGCAGGTTCATTGGCTTTTTGGTTTGGAAGCTGCGAAGTCGCCTCGCCAAGCAAGCCAAAACCGGCGTAACTACAAACTTTTGCATCCAAACAAGTATGCTCAAAGATGCCCGTCCAGCATACCGTTAAAGATCATGTGTCTGGTAAAGTGGAGCCCGGTCACAAAGGTTGCCGTCGACAGATTTGTCTTCCAATTTAGTACATCATGATGGAGGACATCTGCTGGGTGTGGGCACAACACCCTGGAAGCAGTTGTTTTCTCCTGGTAGTTGTTTCAGGGGCACGTTGGCATGCGTGATGTAGCTTTTTTGTCCAGGTAGTGCTTTCTCAAGTGCAAAAACTGCTTCGACAGGCATGCATCACTTCGCATTTACATTAGAACAGCTCTTGCATCAATTGTTCTTGTTGCACGCAAATCTGCTTTCAGCGTATCAATGGGAAGAAAAGCGCAACTCCCCAACAGTACCCAAGATATAAGCATGAGTTGGGCCTTCAACCATACAGCTGTGGAGCATGGAACATGAGGGTTTCACACGTAAACATGCTAAAGTGTGCATTGCGGAAGCGCAGGCCCACGGCGGCCCACCAGGGGTTTGGGTTAGGGGCACGGGCCTTACTCAACTAAGGCATGCAGAGTGCGAATTTTCCAGCTCGGCTCCTGGTCAACGTTGTGCCGATGCCCTCCGAAATATTCCACGTGCCTCGGGGGAGGTTCGATGTCGCTCGCTCTCGAACAATGCAGGCGAGACTTTTGTCCATGCTTCCCCAGCCTATAAGAACGCAACGAACTATAGCAGGCCGTACACGTATGACACGTCACAGGCTGGCTGAAGCACGATGATGAGCCAACGGCGGTTTGGAGGGTTTAAGATTCAGGGCTTAGGGTGCCACTTTGTCTTGCTGGTGGGACTATTCTATCACCTGTCTGGAGTTCGGAGGAGGTGAGGTGGAGTTTTGGACAGAAGGAAAACTGATTTGAAGAGGTTCCCCTATACCAAAAACCCTAACAACCCTTAACAACCCTTAACAACCCTTAACAACCCTTAACAACCCTTAACAACCCTTAACAACCCTTAACAACCCTTAACAACCCTTAACAACCCTTAACAACCCTTAACAACCCTTAAAACAACCCTTAACAACCCTAACAACCCTAACAACCCGACAAACCCGAAAAAAAAAAACAAACAAAAACAAAAGCCCTAAAACCCCGAAAACCCCTGAAAAAAAACAAAACTAAAACCCTAAACACACTGAAAACCCTGAAAACCCTGAAAAAACCAAAAACCCTAAAAACCCTAAAAACCCTAAAAGCCCTAAAAACCCTAAGAACCCTAAAAGCCCTAAAAGCCCTAAAAGCCCTAAAAACCCTAAAAGCCCTTAAAACCCTAAAAACCCTAAAAACCCTAAAAGCCCTAAAAGCCCTGAAAACCCTAAAAACCCTAAAAACCCTAAAAACCCTAAAAACCCTAAAAAAACCCTAAAAACCCTAAAAGCCCTAAAAGCCCTAAAAGCCCTAAAAGCCCTGAAAGCCCTAAAAGCCCTAAAAGCCCTAAAAGCCCTAAAAGCCCTAAAAACCCTAAAAACCCTAAAAACCCTAAAAACCCTAAAAACCCTAAAAACCCTAAAAACCCTAAAAACCCTAAAAACCCTAAAAACCCTAAAAACCCTAAAAACCCTAAAAACCCTAAAACCCGAAAAACCCTAAAACCCCTAAAAACCCTAAAAACCCTAAAAACCTAACAACCCTAAACCCTAAAAAAACCTAAAACCCTAAAAACCCTAAAAAAAACCTAAACCCAAAAAAAAAAAAAAACACCTAAACCCCCTAAAAACCTAAAAAACCCTAAAAACCTAAAACCCTAAAAACCCTAAAAAACCTAAAAACCCTAAAAACCCTAAAAACCCTAAAAGCCCTAAAAACCCTAAAAGCCCTAAAAGCCCTAAAAGCCCTGAAAACCCTAAAAACCCTAAAAACCCTAAAAACCCTAAAAACCCTAAAAACCCTAAAAACCCTAAAAACCCTAAAAACCCTAAAAGCCCTGAAAACCCTAAAAACCCTGAAAACCCTAAAAACCCTAAAAGCCCTAAAAACCCTAAAAGCCCTAAAAGCCCTAAAAGCCCTGAAAACCCTAAAAACCCTAAAAAAACCTAAAAACCCTAAAAACCCTAAAAACCCTAAAAACCCTAAAAGCCCTAAAAGCCCTGAAAACCCTAAAAACCCTGAAAGCCCTGAAAGCCCTAAAAACCCTAAAAACCCTAAAAACCCTAAAAACCCTAAAAACCCTAAAAACCCTAAAAACCCTAAAAACCCTAAAACCATAAAAACCCTAAAAACCCTAAAAACCCTAAAAACCCTAAAAACCCTAAAAACCCTAAAAACCCTAAAAACCCTAAAAACCCTAAAAACCCTAAAAACCCTAAAAACCCTAAAAACCCTAAAAACCCTAAAAACCCTAAAAACCCTGAAAACCCTAAAAACCCTAAAAACCCTAAAAACCCTAAAAACCCTAAAAACCCTAAAAACCCTAAAAACCCTAAAAACCCAAAAAACCCTAAAAACCCTAAAAACCCTAAAAACCCTAAAAACCCTAAAAACCCTAAAAACCCTAAAAACCCTAAAAACCCTAAAAACCCTAAAAACCCTAAAAACCCTAAAAACCCTAAAAACCCTAAAAACCCTAAAAACCCTAAAAACCATAAAAACCCTAAAAACCCTGACAAACCCAAAAAACCCTGAAAGCTGAAAGCCCTCAAAAACCCTCTAAAAACCCTTAAAAACCCCCCTAAAAAACCCTAAAACACCCTAAAAACCCTAAAAACCCTTAAAAACCCGTAAAAAAACCCTAGAAAAATCCCTAAAAACCCTAAAAACCCTACACAAACCTAAAAACCCTAAAAACCTAAAAACCCTCATAAAAACCCTTAAAACCTAAAAACCCTAAAAAAACCCTAAAAAAACCTAAAAACCCTAAAAACCCTAAAAAAAAACCTAAAAACCCAAAAAAACCCTAAAACGCCCTAAAAACCCTAAAAACCCTAAAAACCCTAAAAACCCTAAAAACCCTAAAAACCCTAAAAACCCTAAAAACCCTAAAAACCCTAAAAAAACCCTATAAAAACCCTAAAAACCCTAAAAACCCTAAAAACCCTAAAAACCCTAAAAACCCTAAAAACCCTAAAAACCCTAAAAACCCTAAAAACCCTAAAAACCCTAAAAACCCTAAAAACCCTAAAAACCCTAAAAACCCTAAAAAACCTAAAAACCCTAAAAACCCTAAAAACCCTAAAAACCCTAAAAACCCTAAAAACCCTAAAAACCCTAAAAACCCTAAAAACCCTAAAAACCCCAAAAAAAAAACCAGAAAACCCAAAAAAACCCTAAACACCCTTAAAAACCCTAAAAAACCCTAAAAACCCTAAAAACCCTAAAAACCCTAAAAACCCTAAAAACCCTAAAAACCCTAAAAACCCTAAAAATCCTAAAAATCCTAAAAAAAAAACTAAAAACCCAAAAAAACCTTAAACACCCTAAAAAACCCTAAAAAAACCCTAAAAACCCCTAAACACCCTAAAAAACCCTAAAAAAAACCTTAAAAAACTTAAAAAACCCTAAACCCCCTGAACCCCCTGAACCCCCCTAAACTGCCCTAAACTGCCCTAAACCCCCTCAAACCCTCCAAACCCTTTAGGGTCTTCCCCCGGTGCCTTGGAAGGCCTCCAGGGCGAGTCCCGTTGCTGAGGTTTCCCAACACCTCCGGCATGCCCCATAGGTAGTCCTGCAACTCGGGTGGCTTAATGTCCCTGTTAAGCGGTTTAGGGTTTAGGGTTTAGGGTTTAGGGTTTAGGGTTTAGGGTTTAGGGTTTAGGGTTTAGGGTTTAGGGTTTAGGGTTTAGGGTTTAGGGTTTACCCGTTTTCCTGTTAAGCGGTTTAGGGTTTAGGGTCTAGGCATGGGCCACAAGGCCACAAGGCCTCCTAAAAGAGTCCACTCCTGCTGGAACTTAGGGACGGGCTTTTCTCGGATGCGCGAAGGCCGCACTGTCTCAAACACACAGCTTTGGGGCTCCCTAAAACCCAAAAAAGGATTTTTTCCTCCCCCCCCCCTGCACATCCCATCCGTCGGGTAGTGCGAAAAGACGAGGAGGTTGGAAGCGTTGCTTGTCTCCATCCTTCACGGTCAAGCTTAAGAAATTTTGAACCCTAAACCCTAAACCCGAAACCCTAAACCCTAAACCGTTCGAAACCGCTGGAACCAGGCCATGCCTTGCAACATACACACACACAACCCTGAATACCTAAACCCTACAACCCAATTGCAACCCGACTGAAAAGCCCACCCGTCAAGAGCCCCAAACCCGAAAAAGCCTTCAACATACACACACACACACACACACCTTTTTTTTTTCTCTCTCTCTCTCTCTCCCTGTCGCTGTCGCCCGGTCTGTGTGTAAAGTGGGTGCACGAACCCATACTCACCACAACCACATCTCCCCCTCGCAGAGTTCGCAGATCCCCAAAAAAAAGACATGCATCCCTGTCTCATATGGAGTCGTTTTCATGAACCCCGCTCTCGAATTGAGGCCTGGGACGGCATTCTCCCGTGGGAGGACTTGGTTCTTGGCAGGCTGCGGAAAGTGGCAGGAAGTAATGAGCATCCCAAACGCACCGGACACCTACAGCCACGCCAACCCTGAATGTCTCCTCAGTTTGGGTCATGCTCAGCTATGGTTCCCCCCGCCTTGTGCGAGCCCTCTTCCCTTTGTTCGGGCGATCGCAAGTTGGGGTCGGCGACACACAGATGGGGGGGTATCTGCATCGCAACCTCTTTGGGGGTTCAACTGCTGGAGGTGAACACGAGTTCGACCATTCTTCCGCACATCGCTTTGACCCGCTTGCGCCGAGCTTCGGGCAGCCACTCCCCTCTCTCTCTCCATGGGCGCACTACCCCCCACAGCCTCTGATTGAAGAGTTCCAGGGCCGCTTTCGCCCGCTCTTCGACCTTGGGACGGCTTAGAGCTTTTGTGGGGGCACTTCAGGGGCTTGGCAGGGTTTTGGTTTAGGCAGGTTGTGGTTCAGAAGCCCTGAAACTGGCTTCGAAACATCATTTCCAATAGCACTTGCCAACCCTAATCCCCCGCAGGCCGGAGCGGATACCCCTAAACCCTAAACCCTAAACCCTAAACCCTAAACCCTAAACCCTAAACCCTAAACCCTAAACCCTAAACCCTAAACCCTTTTTACAACAGGCCTCGGTTCATAAACCCTAAACCCTAAACCCTAAACCCTAAACCCTAAACCCTAAACCCTAAACCCTAAACCCTAAAACATAACCCCTAAGCCCTCAACGTGACGCTCCCCACCTTGTCTCGGCAATCTGCTTCGCAGGGCGTGTGCGGGCAGGTGTGGTTCACCCACAAGGAATTCAAGTCCTTGGCACTTGCGGTATTCTTTCAGGGTTCGGCTCGCCAGGCATCTTTCGGCCCTTCAAGATGGGTTATAAGAGGGTGCCGAGAACATCGACCCCACATCGTGCGACCCTTGTGGATGTGTTGGCTGGCTGTGCTTGACTTGGGAACGCTGCCTGCGGCAGCTGGCTTTGGGGGGGTATGTACCGGAATAAGCAGAAAAGTCTACTGGCAACGGACTCCCAAAGATCGAGGGCCAAGACTTCCAAATCCAAATCCTCGTGCTGGAAATACCAGGAAAAGCCAGGCATGAAAAAGTGGTCCAGGTCTGCTACATCGTAGTTGATCTGTGCCGCCTTGTCCTCTTCACTGCTGCAGGCACCTGGATCATAAAGCATGTCGTGGTTGCCGTAGACGCTGTACCACGGCACGCTCCTCAGGCTTGGGGAGTACCTGCTGCGCCACTTGCTGTGCCACTGTTGGTCCTGTTTGCTCGAAACGCCGCCTGGGTAGAACGAGTCGCCGACATTTATCACAAACTTGACATCCCCGAGGTCGTTGAACTCTTGGTGCATGCGGTTGGCGATGATCCTCTGACAATTGCTGGATTGCACATTCCCGTGCGCGACCCGATCCCAACCCCAATCACCAATCACCATGAAGGACGCGATGCGCGTGGGCAGCGATTCGTCTTCACCATGGCATCCGAGAGGCGTGCTCAGCACGGCAAGCACAGCCAACCAGCCGCGCGCACATGTGCACATGGTCGAGAGCTACCGTCTTCAGCCTATACTGAGCCCAAATGGACTTTGCATGCTTCATGTTTGTCCGTTTGCCACGGACATGCCGAGAAGTGGTGACAAACCTCGCAACCCCATAGTGTCGGCCATGAAGGGTGAAAACGCTCCCGGCCCCTCTAAAAGGTGAACAGCGTGAACACAACATAGCAGAAGGGTGTATGCATCAGAATTATAAAAAAAAAACTGCCGCTATAGTCTTTTGATGCTGAAGAGGTGCAGGTGTATCTTCAAGAAAGACTGGCTTGGGCAACGTGACACATCGAACGTTCCGATGAGCTTGTCATGCTGTCATGTCAAGCTAGGAGATCGTGATTGGCAAGTCGGTGTGCAAAGCCAACACGCCCAGAGCCCAAAAGATGGCCCCTTGGTGGAACACGGGCTGAGGCAGCAGGGGAACCTGCACCGAAACTCCTTAAGCCTTAAGCCATGACTACTTGGAACTGTTTGTCAAATCGAACGTTTCGTCTCAGCAGTGGGTGTCTCGGCGGTGCAGTGCTGGGAGTCGTGACGAAGCTAGCTACTTCCATGCTGCGATTGGAGATCTGGCGACGCGCCACGTGTGTCGATGGATCAGTCGATGGATCAGATCAGCCCTGCTGATCTGATCAGGCCAGCAGTTTGTGGCGCACACCTCCAGTGCAGTATCTTCTTGCTGAAGCCACGGACCACAGCCATTCTCGCAGGTCGGGTTCACGGTTTTGGGAGGTGTCCGGCAGTCGAGCGTGTCGCATGTCCACTGTTGCTGAGCGTATAGCCGTGCTGATGCTGCGACGTCAAAGCCGAATCGGCGCAGGGAGCTATGTTCGATTGCGGAGCATGGTGGCTGAGAAGACCTGCTTGAAGGTCACAGCCAGCAAGTCATTGTCGTCACATACGAAGCCATGTCCTCACGAGCAGGCATGAGCCACGACACGCATGGCTGTTACGACTCTCGCGCTCGCACGGATAAGCCTTTAGGCAGTTTACGACCCACAGCTCACACTCAATCTAGGCACGAGCCGTGCAGCCAAGTGAGGGTGCAGCTTGTCCCTGACATTGTTTGAACACCCAAGCCGCCGACCAAGAAGTGCGTCTCTCACCGAGCAGAAAACAGAACCTTCCTTTTTTTCGGACTCAAAGGGTTACTTCAAACGTCCTGTCCCGAAAACCATGCAACGTCATGCGCACCGTAGGGGATCATCCGAAAATTTTGGTGCTGAAACTGGGCGCCACCCTCCCCCCCCCCTCCCCGTGCCTTGGACGCTTAACGTCTATTCTGCGCGTGCTCTTTGTTTTCTTGGATTCTTCCCGAAAACCAATTCTGTTCTTGGGTTCTCGTTTGGCGCTTCAACGCGGAAGGCGTTCTATCGGATCGCTTTTTGATCATTTTGGCGAAAGAGGCCACGAAGAGGAGACGGTCAAGACGACGCGGTCAAGGGAGGGGGTTCGGAACATTTTGCTGGGAGAGGGGTGTGGCGTGGGGAGGCGTGGACCATGCCTGGAGGTTGACGGACGGGTTCGGGGGGGGAGCACGGATGGGGAGCGTGACATTCGGTTGATGGGCAAGGGAGTGGGGACACGTGGACGCCCCTCCGAGCCCTGCGCGTGCTCCGCGCCCTCCGCGTGCTCCGCGCCGATCCGCGCCCTCCGCGCCGATCCGCGCCCTCCGCGTCCTCCGCGCCCTCCGCGCCCTCCACGCCCTCCGCGCCCTCCGCGCCCTCCGCGCCCTCCGCGCCCTCTGCGCCCTCCGCGCCCTGCTCGCCCGCGCCCCCCGGGACACAGTGTGCTGATGCTAAGGGTGCATTGCGTCTATTCTGCGGCTCCGCGGGTGTTTCCTTTGTAAAGTATTTGTTTACAAGGCACGCACGTGCAGCATTGACTTTAAGTGTCCATCTTACCCCCCCTACCTCTATTTCATGGGTCTCCAGAGACTGTAGCCTGAAGAACCCCGTGTCCTGGAGTCAATCCCGACTTGATCGTCTCTGCTTCGTCAGTGTTTGAGCTGATGAGGATCACGTAAGCGTTTACCCGCTGGTCCTCGCCATCAAAAGCCGACCCCGAGATGCAGCGTGTTGGGTTTTAGGGGTGCAGTGCACACTACACGCTTCGTCTTTATGCAGGTCAACGCCGTACTAGGAACCAAGATGTCACAAACCACCAGAGGGCAGGTTGTGGATTCTAGACCGCAAGTGTAGAGAAGAGGTTCGCGATTAAAACCCGACTGTTCCTGCATGAGGATTTTGTTCCAGGTGGCAGGGGAGATCCCATACCTGGCCAGGTCAGCATCGCTCACGACGAAAACGTAGTACTCGTCGGCAGACTTGCGCAACACATCCTGTCGCGGGGGTTTACGAAAATCAGGGACCCCCGAATTTCGACCCCCAAATAGTAGGATTCCCTGAGAGCAAGGACCCAACAAGGTACCCCTAACATCGGAAACCCCAGCTGGGAACATCTGCTACACACGACCCCTATCCGCGCAAGACATCACTCCCCAACCTTGATGGCACGGTCCGTGGCTTCCAAGGTGTGATCTCCACTATGGGAGTATTGCCTTGCACCATGCTACTTCAGCTGTACGACACACGCGACAGATGTGCCAAAGACCTGAGGGGTTCTCGCGCACACAAGATGGGTGAAAGAAGCGCGCAAGCCTGTGAGGGCATGGGAACAACCTGGACTTCCCTGTGCGAAACACATGGCACGCACGCAACTCTCAAGGCTACCCTTCAGGCTCACCGAGAGGCGCATGAGCTGCCATCTGCTTCACGATGGCCAGTTGCTCCTTTCCGACGTGCAGAGAGCAAAGATTTTCGGGTGAAGGAAACCCAGGATTGGCGTAGGACTGGCCCAGCGCTGAACCTACAGGCCCTGTTTTTCGCAACTTGGCTGAGGAGCCAAGTAACTCAGCACTGCTGGCTAAGAACCCGCACTCTGGCAATGTAAGCCGTTGGGACGTGTCACGTACAACCCTTGATGCAAAAAGGTCGTAGCGAATCTGTCTAAACATTGCGATGTGTTCATCAGCGACGTCTTCGGATGCACGGAATCGGCAGGCAGAGGAAGTCAAATTTCTAGCTGGCTCCCAACCTTGGCACTCTTTGGGGGCTTTCCCCACGCCACCAGGCTCTCTGCTTCTGCACCAGTGCCGCTGTGACCCACCATAGCATACCTGTGCCAGGAAGCACCAAATCCAGGTTGCAAGGTTGCGTAGGTCACAGTGGCCACGACTTTCCGGCAGAGATTTGTTTCAGAGAACACCTATCGCCAAATTCAAAATGATTACAACCGAAATTCCAGCCCAAGCGAAACACATGCGCACACTCAGACGAAGGGTGCACAGGAGTTTTGAAGTCTTGCGCAGCTGACAAGGCGCTCGTACTTCGCTTCGAAGCCAGAAAAGCTTTCAAAAATGAAGATGGCGGCTTCCATCAGGCGCTGCAAGCGCTGATCGATGCGATTGAACGTGTACATCGATCCTTGGTGGCTGATGAACAGGAGGCACTATATGTCTGTTTATACGGAGCTTAAAGCGTAGGGATCTGAACATCTTGGAGCAAGCAACAGGAAGTAGCCGAAGCCTGGCCAAATTCAACACGGCGCACCCCCATACCAGTATCCAAGAACATCAATGCCCCGAAACCTTCAAGGCCCAGAAACCCAACTGTGCAGCAATAGTCGCACACTAAGATCTCAAAAGCAAAAACCCTAAACCCTAAACCCTAAACCCTAAGCCCTAAACCTTAAACGCTTTGCAACTCTGATGAGCCCGGAGAACCGCTGCAGTCCATCACAAACTTCACGCGCTTTGGCAGCAGCTGATCGCCTCCGCGTTCTTCCGCCTCGGCCCTTCGCCTACGCACGCAGGGTTTAAGGCTCGGCGCTGTCATCACGTTTGCTGAGTCTACTTGGCTGTTGCGACTGAATCGAGTTTTTTGCGCATCAGAACTTTCGGAAACTTAGCAAGTAGACTGTCGTGACTCGCACTGGAACTCCACATGTCTCTGATGTTCGCTGTCAGGAACCGCGACCTGTAGATGTTCCGTGCTCCCGCAATGCCATCCACAAGACGCATCTCGTCCAGTTCGCCCTGGCAGGTGGGTACACACAACGCGCGATGCAGAGAAGTTTTCGAATCCATCGTTTTGCAGGATGAAGCGATATTAAGCGCGCTTCCGGGCGCCTGAGTCTGCTGCTTCTGCCAGCTTCTCTCGCGCTCCTTCGCCTTCACAGGTTTCGGTCCGTTGGGGGAGTCATAGGGTCGTGTCATTCTTTAGGATCGTGAGTCGTAGGTGTTGCTTTGGTTGCTTCACGTACTGTACAAGGAGAAGGAGGCAGCGACAGGGAGAGAGAAGATGCTACCGGGAACAAGCTGCAGCTGAGATTTTTGCTCCTAGGTGAGTCGGTGGTGGTCCAACTGCCCATCCGTCTCTACATGTGCAGTTCTTTAAACCCTAAACCCTAACCCCCTAAACCCCAAACCCCTTTTGAGCAACGGACTTTGGAGGCTGCCGGCAAACCCCAAACCCCAAACCCCAAACACATGCACGTGCGAGGCTGGACTGCCTCATGGCTTTGGAGCACCAGCCGAAAGGCCGAGATCTGGGCCTCCACTGATTGAAGCAGACGCCGGTACCTGGGGCTCAGCACAATTGGGGCCCTTACGATATTAGGGGTACCTTATTGGGGTCCTGATTGTAAGGGGGTCCTACTATTTGAGGGTCTATGTAAAGGTCCCTTATTATCGTAAAACCCCCAATTCGTTCGCTCTGAATAGTCCTCAAGTCCTCAGAAGTGTGCGACAGCGTTCTGCGGCGCTTAGAATTAGCCCAGTTCCTGGGATACGCTTCTGTCATTCCCTTCAACATAGCTGAACAATGGCATCCTGAAACTCGTGCTCCGAACATCGTCACCCCACTTAGCATTTTGACGGGCTCTTGGGCACACTAGGAATGCTCTGTGGGATATGGCGTGGGACGTGTTGGGAGCGGGCAGGCAACTCACAGACACTTTCTGTCATCCCTTTGCGGCCGATCTTCTGCGATGATCAGTCCAGGGCCACTCTGCAGGATTCTCTACGGGTGTTCACTCCGGGGATACATTGCGCAGGGAACAACAGATGGTTTCAAAAACATCCATAGGGGTCGACACCTGCATTTTGTTGAACGTGGGTAAAATAAGTCATGCCGGGCAGAGTGCTTCGCACCAGTTGCGCCTTCCAGGAAGGCGTGCTTCCACCCCCACCCTCCCATCCCAAAAACCATCACACGAAGAAGCCATCCTTCCAACACCAATTTTGAGGTGGGGGCCGCGGGGGGGGGGGGGGGGGGGGGGGGGGGGGCAAGATCCATTCGCGCACGAAAGGAATGCGCACTGGGGTCTGAGTGATGTTGTGCAGATGCTTCCAGGCGCGTGCAACCGAGCCACTCTGTTTCATCGTGCGCGCTCATCTTAAGCTCGCTGAGCCGATGTGCGTAGGCCTCATCGGCCATTTGCTGGGCCTTCAGATCAGTTCAGCTCTGTGGGAAGAACATGTTTGGGGGCATGAAGGATTTATGATGTTGAGTTAAACTCAGGGTCCAGATATGCATGCCTGCAACCTAGAATGGTGCAAGGTGTTATTGAAACATATTGAAACTGCAGGGCTGGACACCAAACTCTGGGAACAGCTGGTGAATGAAATGAAGTGGCGGCCTTCTTGTGCCACTCTTCCGATACTTCTTTCTTCTGCTCCTCTGTCAGCATCACCAGATCTTGGCCTACGTCCAATCGGTAAGGCCCTGCACGGCCACCAATGCCAGCCTGGCAACTTTTGGGATAACATAGTCCTTTTTCAATTCCTTTGCACGGCATGTCGAACCTTTGTGTTTTTGCTCTGATAGTGGTTTAGAATTTTTTCCATGGGCACATCCATCGGAATCTGGAGTTGGATGCACTTTTGCCGAACAAAAGCCATATGGCCTAGGAATCACAATGACAAGTGTATCATGATAATGAGAACTGCAATAGTGATCATCATACGAGAAGTGCAAGTAATAGTACTGTCAGCACTAAGACTAAACTTGAAAAAACCATATTATACCAGAGCAAAGAAGTCATGCTAAGAATGAAAAAATAATAAGAAGTCGTGGGAATAACAATAGTAGCGATTCCAATTATCGTTTTTATGGAAGTGGATCAACACAAGGTACTTGCACAAGCTCAGAGACACAACAAGGAGGCGTCATAGATTCTTTAGAGCTTTGCAAGCACACACTGACATGGACTGTGACACAATGCCGAAGGGTCGGGCGATGAAGAATAATGGTCTTGTCCCTGAACCCAAAACCCTCAGCTGTGGCCGCCAAACAAACAGCTCCTTGCGCCCGAGTTGCAGTTCCAGTTCCCCCAGAACCACCATCCCAGGGGCCTTCGCCAATATGCCTGGGATGTTCTACGGGCATCGGGTTTGGGTTTCATGGCTTAGGGTTTTAGGTAAAAGAAGCTTCGGGGTGGGTAGTTCTTGTCAAATCAAGGAAGCACCATCCTAAACCGCTGCTCAGATACTGTCGGCCATCCCAATTGCCGGCCCTGGGCGCATGCCTCTTCCCAGATTGATCCGTAGCATCGTCGTAATCTCTAGTGCCAACATCACCTGGATCAAATCCTTCACCGTCATTCTCCTTGGCGCAAAACTTCGGAAGCCGTCGTGCTTGCAACCCTCGCATGCTACATGTTGCTGTTCGCTTCGCTTGCAAGTCTCAGCATTTTCGCCCGAGTCATAGTGCTTGGCAGACTTGAAATCCTGACGGATCGAAGGGATTGACATGCAGGCCGGGGGGGGGGGGGTGAGGTTGCATGCACGAGTGCTGCACCGAGGTCATGACCAAATGGAGGTACACGTGCTGACGAAGGTCATGGAAGGGGTGAGAGTGCAACGCTATCCACTGCATGCCAAGGACAAGGACCGAGGCTTTTTCACATGTTTCATTGGTGTTCCCCGTGATTGCCACCCGGCCTCTGACTCCACGCACCCCGAGACCTACGCAACCCTTAAAAGCCTGAGCCCTGAACCCTAAGCCTCAACTCCTAAGTCCTACTTCGCAGGAACTCGCACTAGGACACAAGGGAGCTCCTTCGGCAAGCGCTTGTTGGGGTCGCCATGCTTCACCGACTTGGCGGTGGGGTCAAACTTAAAGCCACAGCCGCTCCTGGCGTTCCCCGGGATTTTAGGGTGGCTTTTGGGGCCCAAGAAGCCCAAGCGGCAGCAGAACCCGCGACAGCCAGAATCTCTTTCGCATGACCAGCTAGCATGGCTGGAGACTAAGGCGGTTCTAAAGGCTTCGCCTGGGTAGTAGGGTTGAAAGATGTTGAGAATTGAAAGTCAAACCTCGCTGCTTCCAAGGTGCAGCACTCCCGAGAGTGTTTCCCGTAACTTCGAGTCATGCCAATCAAACTCAAAGATGTCCGCGAAGACTTCTTCCACCGGGTAATCTGGAAAGCTTTCCTGATGCGCGTGTTTACCACATGCCAAGGGCTTTGAGTAGGCCGGCTGAAGACCAATGGGAGACCTGCTCCTTGACATGTGTGATACGCTGGAGTGTTAGGTGCGTATCAAATCAAGCCAACCCGTTGGCCGAACACCAGATGGCATGACATGTATGTCTGGCGAATGGCTTCTTATGGTATACAAGAGGCATTGCATACTCTGTGCCCGAATTAGCATGGAACCTGCCCCAACATGCATACTGGACGCGCCACGTCTCCAAATGCCGCACAACACGCACCAGCTCGCGCGTCGAGTACGGATAAGAAAGCAGGCCCTCCTCTCAAGGTCCAAGCCTCTAAAACCCTGCTTTTGGAGGCCCTTATAACGAAAGCTAATATGGTCCTGGTTACAAGGATTCCTGCTATTTGGGGGCCTGTTTTTCGGGGTCCCCTATTGAGCTTGGAGACGGCTGCCCCCTGCTTTTGGCGAACTCATCGGCAGAAACAGATAAACGTCTGGATTCATATCGTCTCAATGAAGGGTAAGGGTAATAAGTCCTTTTGGCTGGACCGATGCTGCAAGCACATATACGCGCACCTCTCTCTTCCTTTGCTGCTTGGTGATGTGGCGCTGGGGATATTGTTGATGGAACCCAGTCGCACTCTGAGGAATGCAGCTGAATGCTTTGCTCAGCCGGGCATCTGGGAACCAGCCGTTAAAAATTCTCCTGACCCTGATTATGCTTCGTTTTTGGTTTTCCGCTGCGAGGTCCCAGTACTTCCCTCCCCCACTCCTCCACTAAGCGCCTCAACTCGGCAAACAGCCCCAGCAAGCGGACGAGCTGCTCCTGCGTGGAGGTTTGCGAGAAGTTCCGGACCGGGGGGATTAGAAATCCAAAGCTGCACCTCTTGGAGCAAACCGCGTGGGGCGCATCCGTATCCCGAAGCCCGTACCGGACTGAACCGTGAAATGTGTCCATAACGGGGGGCCTGTGGCACGGAGGGCCCATAGCTCCGGAGGAGCTCCACCTCCGAGGTGACATCCGGATTGTCGATGGCATGGGAGGCGAAGACATCCCCACATTCCTGACTGTTGGCTGGAATGAGGTACCCTATACAATGATATAGGGCACCTCATTCCCTCATTCCCTTTTAACCAAGAGTAAGATTCCCGGTAGAAGTCGTTGCCCAAGAACGGGTAGCCGGGTCGATTGGCCAGGACAATCATCCGGAAGCCTTCTGCGATAGGGAGAAAGTCGGGATCGTTGAGCTGCGAGAGCTGCTCAGGCATGCGCTCCGGCTTCATGATGGTCCTCCCGTCTCCGAGGGTGAACTCCCCATCTTCTGCAAGGCTTTTCAATATGCAAACCACTTCTAGAGGAGCCTTGTCGGCCTCATCAACGACGAGCACGCGACCATAGCGCACTGCAGACACAAGAGGTGAATCTTGGTACACCACGACCCCATTCTGCAGCATGGGCTGTATAGTCAGGGACTGCACAGTTGTGTCGCGGTGCAGCTGCAAGTACTCCCTTTCCAATTGCAGCATGCTCAGAAAGCGATCTGCCAGCTTGTTCTTACCAACCCCCTGGTTTCCAATCAGCAGCAGATGTCTCTGCAGCAGCCAGTCGATCATCATGGAACGTAGCGCCATCAAGTGCTGAGGTATGTCAACCTTAGATGGAAAAAACCAGAAAAACTAGCAAGAAGAGCCCCAACAAGACTTAGAGATTCATGAGAAGAAAAGAAGTCGCCCTGTAACCCTGCCATCTTTGCATAAACCTCTGGACACCCAGATGTCCGAGGCACGAAGAGCGTGGAAGGCACCAGCTCAGGCCTTTGCGGCTGGCCTCGCTAGCTTTGCTGGTTTGGGGCTTTAAGGATTTAAGGATCAGGGAAGGTATGCTGACCAGATTGGGGGCAAAGTGTTATCAAAAACCGCAGGAGGCCCGATTTGAGTCCTGTGCCTCTCTTGCAGGAAACGTCGCCCAGACGAACCTCGTGCTCGCGCAGCTCCAGGGCCAAGCGAGAGCTCCGCCCAGTGCGGAGCCCATCCTTTGCCAGGCGCATCACCTGCAGAAGTCGGGGTCAGGGTTTACCTGAAGCATGTGCCACTGCATGGGTATTTCCCAAAGTAGGGGTACGAGTACCCCTGTTCTACCCCAAATAGAATAGAATCCCGATAAAGGGACCCCCCTATTTTCGGGAGACCCTGCATGGCACCAAGTTGTTGGGGGCCTTGCCTCGGCCCGCTGCCGACTTCGATCTGCAGCTTTCTCCTCAAGTAGCTTCTCCGTCTCCTCGAAGCTCGGCGGTGGTACGCCAAGCTACTATGATGGGTCAGGTATTGAAACCTATTGAAACCTAGAACAGAACCTTAACTAAGAGACTGCCCGGTTACTACTACTGCCCCCCCCCCTCCCACCCCCGCCCTGTGACTATGTTAACCTTCATGTCCTCGTGAATGTGCTGCTCCGTCCTTCGGTCGGGCATGAAGCGCAGGCCGATGGCTGGCTCCTCGAGCAGCTTTGAGCCAGGGTGGTTTTATTCAGAGGCTGCATATAATCCCCAAAAAGGGTAAACACAAAGGCCACCCTCCTGTATAATCCCACAGAAGGGTGGACATAGGGCCCTAGTAAGAACCAGTAATCAGTAACCAGGGGGTGCCACCCTGTCCTCAAGAGCTTTCAGGCGTTGGCCGCGCTCCTCGGCTTGTTGGGATTTCCGCTTCGCCTCCCTGAGCTCCTCCCAAGATTGGCAGTCTGGTTTGTGGTGTACTGTGTATACACGATAGTATATATATATATATATATATATACATATATATATATATATATCTATATATATATACATATATATATATATTATATTATATTATCTTATATATATATATATATATTATATATATATGCAAATAATATGTATAATACATACATATATCTGTATATATATATATACATGTACATATTATATTCTATTTGGTTTCAAAGACATTGTACCGCAAGAAACAAGACCAAGCAGTTCGGTCAAGCGTGGCGATGGCAACAAAGTAAGAATGCGCAGGGCCAAGTCATAAACCAGGTACATGTCCCTACTCCTTTCCTACTTTCCGTTCCTCCAGAGAGCCCGCTAACAAACTCCCACAGTACTTTGGGAAAGTATCGCTACTGCTAGTGAGTAGTGTCTGCCTGACCCAAGAACGCTCCCATCCCTTGCCTCGGGACTCTCCAAGTCCACCTGCACGCCTGCACCTTTCATCGCCTCTCGCATAATCCGAAGCACGGTCTGCTTCGACAAGGGAGGCAAGAAGTTCACATAGCCCGACAGCGCCGCCCTCACCGCCTCTGTGACGTCTTTCGGCCGGGCCTGGCACCGGCGGGCCACGTGCAAGAGCTGGCGCATGGAGAGCAGCAGGGGCTGCAGAGACGCATCGGACTTGGCCGCGGTGCGAAGGGCTTTGCCGTAGGCCATGAGTCCGTTCAGGACCGGGTGCTCTACCGACAAACCACAGACTTGCGTCACGAGCTTCGCTTGCTGGGCAGCAGGTAGAGGCTTCACCTAAGGAAGGGCCATGAAGTGGCATGAAGAAGCTTTTGCTAGCTATGCTGTCCACAAGCACCCACTGGGTTGCCAAGTCCGAATCCGACCAAGTCCGAATCCGAGATGGCCCTATGGGGGGGTTGGCAGTAGGGCCCCTTCTGCGCACGGCACCTCGGTGAAGTGGAACAGGGTGAGCAACTCGTCATCCAACCAAGACCGCTCTTTCCCTTGAGGGGTCTCAGCAGTGGCGACCACACGAAAAGCATGGTGGACGGGCCGAAAGCCTGCACCCAGCAAAGTGGCTGCTGACCAGCCCTGATCGAGCCACTGATGCCACTGCTCCTTGCGGCACAGGTTGAGGGGGCCTTCTAGCCTCGATTCCTGCGACTCATTTCGTAAGAAGTGTGTTGCGCCCCCCAGCCTCGGGGACCAGCTTCGTCCCATCTGGAAGGGCGGCCGCGCGGTCACAGAGGAGCCGACCCAGGGCACCGGCCAAAGCACCGGGGGTTAGGCGGTGGATGCCATCCAAGACCGCCAGGCCTGGTCAGGGTGCGGAAGCCCTAGCGCCGGGCGTCAATCCTTGCAGGGTTCGGGCATTGACGTTGGGGCGTGTCGGGATCTACAATTTTGGGACTCAGGGTTTTGGTATTCCGCTCTGCTCACCGTCTGCTTGGGACCTCTCAGCTTCAGCGTGACAGCCTGGTGTTTAAGGCTTAAGGTTGGGCTTCTCGGCTTTAAGGCCGACCGCCTCCCTCCATCGCAGCCTGAATCAACGGCGAAGGCTGCCAGATGGTGTTGCCGCTGTCATCCGTGCTGCGCCGCAAAGTCAAGTCCCGCGCCGTCATGTCCTGTCAAGGAAGCTCCGTGCGAAGCGCCCCAAACCTCAGAGCCTCAGACCCGGAACCCACATCCTGACGCCCTCAGCGCCCGATGTGGCGAAGCCAAGCCGACAAGAACAAGATGAAATCAAGACGTGGGTTTAGGGTCTTCTCAACACTGGGCAAGGGCGAAATCACATTATCATGCACGCGCCAAAAAGAAGGAGATGCCTTGAAGCAGAAAATGTTGTAGGTGCGGTAGCCCAGAACTTCCGCGAAGGCCCGGCTCAGCACCGTCTTGCCCACACCTCGCTCCCCCACAATGCACAGGTCCATTCCTGCTGCATGATCCCGCAAAAGCTGTGATAGCAGAGCACGTTGAGCGGGTGCCAGTCGTGCCAGCGTCTGCTCGTGTCTCGCGGGCCATCCACCACAAGGGCACACGACACTGGGATCACTTTGCCCTGGCATCTGGAACACCAGTCTGGCACAGCAGTCCTTACAGCCAAGTAGTGCAGAGCCGAAGAAAAACGACATGTTTGGACAGTTCTGCGGAGTTTTTTTTTGTGGGGGGCGGGGGGCGTTTTGAACGAGGCTCGGCGGGAAGCTTCTCGATGCTCTTCAGGCTGTAAACTTGCCTGTCCGTGCCCGGAAGCTCCACGTTGTGCAGCTTCAACGCAGACTGCACCGCCGCGCGCTGGGCGCTGCTGAGCTGCAGGACTGTCCAAGGGAAAGCGCTGTGAAGCGCGGCTGCGTCGGGCAAGGATGGGAAGAGCTTCAGCAACTTCATCACCGAGACTAAGCCAAACTCCGGGAAGCGTGGGAGTCTGATTTGTTGCTTCTTGGAGTCCTCGGACCTCCACAATGCCACCACCGCCGTGAGCTTTTTGGTGGCTGCGTCACCTCTGGGCAACAGTTCTTCGGCGCTCTCCATGGCCCTTCTCCTTTTGGGCAAGCCTTACACTAGAGTCACTAGAGAGTCCTTCACCTCGACTCCTGTCCTTTTTTGCCCTCCGAATCGTACCGAAAACCCTACTTTGCAGGACACGTCTGCAGAAGCGCACACATACACACAATGTACATCTTGAGGCACATTTTACTATACACATGGTCTTTGGTTCTGGAGACATCTGTCGTTGCACTCTGTTTGTTGCAGCCGGCAAGGCTAGACCCAACCTCAGCATGGTTTCTGGCCAACAAGAGCCCCGCCTCTTGCCAACTCCATCCCCTGATCCCCCCGCACCCGCCGTGCAGCGAAGCGCGATCTGAGGGGTGGGTCCAGAGCCGTCCCAGGATAGGTCGGCACGGGCAGGCCAATGGCCAAGACCAGGAACTTCCTTTTTGTGTTTAGGACTTCGCTCTCTTTCTCTCTTCTTCCTTCCTTCAGCACTCTCTCGCTGTCTCTCCCAAAGGCTGACACACACACACACACACATATTCTTTCATCTCATTGCTGCTTCTTTAATGGCCAAGAATCCTATTGCTAGTAAATTCGTCTCACTGTCACTGCTACGCGAGCATCTTGTTGCAAGCATTCCTAGTCGCTCGCCCGTGTGTTCGTATCTCCCTCTCTTTTCTCTCCTATCTCGAAGCTTAGGGGACGAAGCCCTGGCGGTGAACAATGCCTGTTAAAATGCGATGCAGACTTGCCCCTATCTCAGTCATGCAGCCCACGCACCTAATCATCCCCGGCGCCGGACGTCCGTTTCGGAGGGCAGTTTCGGTGAGATAACTGTTAGGGGTGTTCATTGACACCGGCTCGTTCTCCTCAGAAGGTGCGGCTTTTGCAGTCCCATCCATCCGCGCGGCTTCCAGGTTTGTCTTGAGCAAGTCAACGGCTAGGCTTGTGGTACGTCGAGCTCGGCAAGTTGAGTGGCACCCCCCGGGAGGTGTGTGCTAAGTTGGCTGCTGGCGTCCACGGCTGTGTTTGTATTGCTTCTGTTTGCAAAGCGTTGGCTCTCACCATCGGGGCTGGGCTGCATGTCCTGAGGGTCCCCGGAAGATGTCTTCCATGTCCAGAGGTTCCTCTCTGTCTTTCTCTGTCTCTCTGCCTACCTGCTTGCACCGTCATAACGGTCCGTTTCGGGTTTAGGTTTTGGGTCACGGTCAGGGCAATCCAACGGCCGGGACCCGGAAAGTCTCTCTGCAGGGACCATGAGAGAACTTGCCCTGACCAAACATCACATACTTTTCGTTTGCCACGGCTTGGCCAAGTGTCTTGGAAACAGGCAGCAGGCACCTGCCCCCGCTGGCCGCTCGGATTTCTGCCTCTGAGGGGGGGGCAGACATGTTGAGTCACCTGACGTTTCCTCCTCCCGGGTTGTGTTGAGCCAGCATCAAGTCACTGTGGGGGTGTGGCACACTTCGTAAGGCACGCAGAATTGCGGCAAGATAGCCATCTCCCCCGATCCTCGCGGCCCGGGGCCATGAGAAAGCTGCCATCCTCCAGAGACATCTCCCGGTTCTCCTTAGATCTTCCGGCTCGGAAGAGCCATTCAAGAACTTGCCCCTGGGGAAGCATAACTGGGAAATGTGCGCAGCTGCTTGACTCATCTGTGCTGTGCTACGTGCTGTACTGCATGCTGGACAGCTTATCCATAGCAACCCGACGCCCCAAACCTGAGACCTCAGGCCCTGCACGGACAGCCCAGTCTCCAGAAGGTTGTTCAGCAGTGGCAGGACATTCCGCTCGGCCTGCGGGTTGAATGACTTGGCTTGCTTGTTTGCTTTTCCCCGTTCCTCTGAGTTGAGGGCTTCGACGCTCCCGGTAACAAAAGGCAGGCAAGGCCTCTGTCCGAAGATCCGGGGTTTAGCTAGGGCTAGGACCGCCGCGCCAGAGGATCATAGGTGCCAAACCTACCGCAGAATTCAATCCTCCAACGCCGGGACCGTGAGGAAGAACAAAAGAGCCCTAGAAATCCCAGATAACAAAAAAACACCATCAGAATCTGCAAAAAGCATTCTCCTGCACTTCCACCCTGGCCTTCTGCACACCCTCCAGGATCAGCAGCCGCCCCTTCAATGCCGCCTCCACGGCCGGCGCATTGTGGAAAACCTACACAAGTTGCTCGGGGGCACTTTGACACTCGGCCCAGATGCTGGGACCTTCTAGGGGCCTCCGAAGTGCATCGAAGTCGGGGGACGCAGAACTCTAGAAAAGCCCATGGAGTACTGGGGCAATCGAGGCAACCTGAAGGTCTGGATGGGTTGGGGGAAATTTGCGGCTACTTCATGGCTCGTCTCAGTCGAGACGCCAGCTGCCCATCCAGGATCTCGCGCCGTTGCTTCAAGTCAGCCTCGGTGGTGTCCCGCGTGATGCCGATGTACTCCACTTCTCGGCCCGTCTGCGCCGCAAAGCGAAGTGCCGCGTTGCGCAGGTGAGGCCCAGGATCCCCAACCAGAAACATGTCCTGGCCCAAGTACGACTTCTGTGCCATCCATTGCAGCAAGTCGTCATCGGCAGGGAGCATGGAGCCGCGCACCGATGGGACTGAAGGCACCTGGAGCCTCCGCGCAAGGCGTGGCGGTCCCAGCGTTGGGACACGACTCGTCGAGCTCATCGGCCCCGCCGCTGCAGCAGGCCTCGACGTCGCGATCGCTTCGGCGGGTTCGGCGGTGCGCGTGGTGGACGGGGCCAGCTCCACCGCAGGCACTTCAGCCACATCAGCCTCATCGGAACTGGTGGCATCATCAATCAGGGATTCCAGGGACGGAGGCCCTCCAGACTTCGGAGGAGCTACAGCGTCTGGTGCTGGAGTCGGTGCTGGAGTCGCGGTTGGCACTGTTGGCACTGTTCTTGGCACCGTTGCTGGCACTGTTGGCCCAGAAGCTGAGGGCCCACCCCTCGAAGCCGGCAAGGACTCATCGAGCTCATCGAAATCGAACATTGGATCACGCAGCTCTCGCGACCTCCTCTCAGCTGCACGTCTTCTCGAGCCAAGAAGCCATGTGTGCGCGTATGCTGACCCTGTGATGCCTGGGCTCTTCATTGTTTCTCACCCCTTTTGTTCACCCTTTTTCTCTGTTGGGGCCCCAGGCAGAGCAAGTCTCCAGTCGAGTGCAGTGCCCACTTCTGGGCTGCGGCCATCTAGTGCCAAGGGAGATGCCAAGATCTCTGGGCGCCTCTTTTGGGGCTGGGGGTGCCTGGGTGTTCATGGCTGAAGTTGAAGGCTTTTTTTTGGCTGCCCACCTAGTTTAGCGAAGGATTTTGGCGGATAGGCCGGATAGGGCTTTGAGGGTTGAAGGGGGAGCTTTTCTTTCACAGCGTCTCGAGCTTGACTAGGCTGGCAGACCGATGCCCAGGCTGCCTGGCATCTGAACTTGCCATGCCTGTCGGCAGCTGCATTATCGCAAGCAGACGTGCGTGCCGCTTCTCCTTCGAGAAAGCGGGCCTCAAAAACTGCTACATAACAAGGCTCTCGACATAGCCCGGGCTCAATATTTCTGAACTTGTGCCTAGCAACACATCCGGAAGCCCGCAGGCTGTTGTGCTTCCATCTCGCAGCACTAACATAACTGGTGCATACCAAACCCAGAGCCATAAACCTCACTCTCGCTCCCCAAATCCTGCAGGCGCGTGAGCACTCACGTGCACCCTGCCTGTGGGCGCCGAGGGCCACTCCAAGCATTGAAGCATTGAATGACAGCTCTTGCATTTGATTTGAGGGAGGGAGATTCAGGGCTTGGGCTGTTGCAGGTTGAGGTGGGGAGATGCCAGGGAAAATATCACATTCAGGCAAGAAGCCGACAACGACACACATCTCACAGATCAGCTTCCTGTCTGGCGAGATGGCGCACTAGATGAAGTCTAAAGGCATGCGCAATGTTGGCGGGCTCCCGAAAATTGGTCCTATTTTGGCAGCCAGTGACGAGGCCCGGCATTCAGGGTATGTCTTGTCATGGGACCCGGTTCCAGGGAACGCCCCCAGGAAAACGACGGTGATTACACGTATTCTGCTGTGAGAGATTCAGCAGTGAGGGGCATGCAGGCTTCGGATGGGTGCGATAGTGGCACAGCCCGCATCTCGTGCAGGGGCCCACAGTCGGGCGAACAGGCGCGGCCTCACTCACAGGCAAGAAAAAGACACCCCCCCCCGCCCCCCGGCCTCCGGCCTTTCTTCGTGGACTTTGAGGCCGAAACTATTCGCTTGTCATGCAAGGAGTTCTCTGCTCTTCTTCTTCTACTTCATCTTCATCTTCATCTGCATCATCATCATCATCATCCTCATCATCATCATCATCATCATCATCTTCATCTTCATCTTATTCATCATCATCTTCTTCTGAGTATTGTTCTTCTTCTTCTTCTTCTGCTTCTTCTTCTTCTTCTTCTTCTTCTTCTTCTTCTTCTTCTTCTTCTTCTTCTTCTTCTTCTTCTTCTTCTTCTTCTTCTTCTTCTTCTTCTTCTGCTGCTCCCTCTGCTGAGTCCGGCTTGATGTGCCATCCTGATGGCCATGCCACGCATGGCTTCTTTACATCACACTTCGGCGACTCCCTTGACTCCCCTGCGAAACCCTTGAAGGACAACCGTCGACTCCAACATGTTACAGCTTCAGCCCTTGCCCCCCGCCCAGCCTGGGAAGCAAAAATCATCAGACCTGGTCAGCTGAATCGGGAATCACTCGATGACCGGTTGAGCGTTTTAGGGCTTCGACTCTCATGCTGGCTTAACAACCTCTTCTCAGTTCTGGCACGAGTTTGCTGGCCACTTCCGCCACTTCCCATGAGCCTACAGTTACTCAACACCAAAGCCGCATTCAAACACTTTGTGTTGGGGAACAAGCTGATCTGCCAAAGTCCTCACCCAAAGACGTGCAAATGTCTTCGGTATGTCTTCGGTGGCTTCTTAACCTGCCACTTGTGCCCAAACCCTTCGCCCCCAAAGACGCGGGCGGCAGTGATCTCGAAAGGCGCCCTCGCTTCGCGAAGGTTGCCTGCCACAATTCCCCACAAGATCTTTTACAGGTGGCATCGTTTCTTTCGCACCCTTTTCCCCTGAGAGCTTACATTTGTTCTCGACCCAGGGCCTTGGATTTTAATCTGCCGCAGGATTTTTGTTTATGCTTGAGGCCGACCCATTTCCTATTCTGCTGTCGCAGTGGCAGTGCGTGGTGATCGTCCCCACAGGTCATCGCATAGACTATCTGTCCGGAGTCCCACCCACAGAATCCCGCGGAGAACCCGCAGTGCCCACACCCAGGAATCACCGCAGAGTATCCCCGAATTGCCCCTGCCCCCCAAGAAAATGCCGCAGAGAATCCCTAGACACCCCATCAGCTCCCACAGAGTACCCTGGATCGTGCAATTCCAAAAGATCCCGACAGTGCCCGGGCGCACGGCCGTGACCACCATCCCTTCAGCAGTCTCGGTTGTTAGACATGCTAGTGGATCCGCAGAGGCATTTTCCATGACTGTGGTTCATGGCTGTGGGGATGTAAAGCTCAGGTTTGAATCCCTCTCCGAGATCCGAAACCTAAGATCATAATGCGCAGCAAGACATTTTGGTAGACAGCCAAGCCAGACCATGCAAGCAGGTTTGCATCCTGCTGCCAGGTTCAGGGGCTGAGGAAATGCTAGCACCCGGGCCTGAATCTGGAAACAAAATGCTAAGGGGGCGCGAGAAGTTACCATGTTGGGATCCGAGGCCACAGAATGTGTGGTCTTTAGTGACTCTTGGTGGGCACAATCAAGACAAGGCCCATTAACATCCGTCACTCTCGCGAGGAACATGGGCGCACCATCAGCGCAAATGAAGTGCAAATGCCACACACCTGCAGAACGGGAATGGCGGGACCGGCACGAATAATGGGGCCTTGTGCTGCTGCTGTAGCAGTTTGCTTTCGGGCTTGGAGGTGCTGCATCCGGAACCTTACCGCTTTTCAGGGGCTCAACACGCGACAAGTCGGACAAGGATCCGGGTGTCCGCTATCTGGGCCAAAAGGCAAGTCTGCGAGGAAGGCTTTCAACCCTGACACTAGACTCACCCACTAGACTGAACCCTAAACCCAGTGGCTTTCAGAGAAGCCGCGCAACTTACGACGCGAAATTGCGGGCTTCAACCGCTGAACATCAGGTTCGCACGTTTGTGGTGTAGATAGTTTTCGTAGACTAAGCATACCAAGCCTTTCCCCCTAAAGCCAAAAGCCAACACCCCCCTGCTCCACAGTCATGTGCCACATGCCCCTGGCAAAGTTTTGCACGACTGGGACCGGCACCAGCAAGATGTATGGGACCTGGGATGCACAGTTCAGGATCTTACGGCTTGAATTGAGCCCTGGGAGGGGGAGGGGCTCGGGTGTACGACTGAGGTATCTGTTCAAGTTTGAAAACGTTTTAAGGCTCTAGGGCTTAAGGTTGGATGAGGGCCGGGGGCTAAGGGTCCCAAGAAAACGGGTCTGGGCTCAAACGACACACCCCTCCAGGGTTAAAACGGCGCAAGTCCATGATGACCTGCACCAGTCGCGCCACACCAACTTACAAGGGCATAAACCCTAAACCCTAAACCCTAGACCCTAACCCTAAACCCTAAACCCGAAACCCTAAACCCTAAACCGTAAACCCTAAACCCTAAACCCTAAACCCTAAACCCTATAATAACCGTAACCATGATCGGAGGGCTGCTTGAAGCACCGGTCAGCCTGCTTTGTCAGACCGCAAACCAAGGCCCAGGGCGATTGGAAGTCTGAGAGGAAAAGTCTGAGTCTATGCCTTCTTCCCTAAACCCTAAACCCTAAACCCGAAACCCTTCAAACACCCAAATTCTCCGATTCCTCCAAGTTCCAGTCCTCATAGGCCCTGTGTTGGCTTGGGTTCTGGCATGGCTGCTGCTGTTTCTCAGCACAGGCACAGAGATGTCGTCCCTGGCAGAGGCTCTAGGACTTGTGGTTCAAGGTCTTCACAGCTACCCAACTACCCTTCTTCCAACGTCCAACAAACTTAAGAGCATTGCCAGATGATTCCGCCATGAGCATCGCCGCAGCAACAAGGTCCAAATACCACGTGAGTCACCGGCAAAAGCCGTGCCGCCACGCACCGCCTGTAGTTTAAAGCGCTCCCAACCCCCAGAAGCTCAACAACCTCCGAGAGCCACCTCCAAGAGCCACCAAGCCCCTTCAACCATAAACCCTAAACCCTAAACTCCGTTCTGAGATCGAGGCCGCGTCATCACATCCGACCCGTCACAGCCCAGCTCCCCGCCCACGAAGTCAGCACCGGCCTCGCATGTCCGCCCGCGATCCATTTTCCGGGCTCAGGAGCAATCCCACAATCCGAAACTCCCCTAAGGCCTACGCACCCAACATCACCCAACCCCATCCCCCAAACTCATGCCCAGCAAGGCGGGAACTGTTGTCGGTGTACCCCTCGCGCTAACCCTGGGCAGTCGCCTGCAAGGCTTGAGCAGAAGCTGGCGGGCAGTGACAAAGCCCGGAGCTGACCTGGATCAAGGCATACATATCTCTCCCTCTCGTGCAGCCACAGAAAACCTTAGGAGGACCTTGGTCTTTTCATCATGGCTGACATGATACTTTGCCAACTCTCCAGTGGAAGTCATGTAGCACCAGTGGTTTGTGAAGCAAGAATGTTTGACGCTCCCAAGGCGCGAGATTCCGAATTGTCCACCGGGCTTGACCGCAACTTTGAAAAGAAAACAGTGATCCTTTGGCTGAAACCGACCAACTGGAGGTGCATGCCTGGCCTGGCCTCAAGCTTTTACATTGACCAGCACAGCCGCAACGCAAATTAAACTTCCAGCCATCCCACTCCAGACTCGGGGCTACGAACACCTCGATCCCCATGGCCCTGAGGTATGGATGTGAAGGCCGACAACAAGACATGCCGGGAGGGCGTGGAACACAAAGAACGCAGCCTCCTCGCTGCTTCGGCAGTGAACCTTCCCAGCTGCCGGCCCCGATGCCTTAAGTGTCCTACGTCCAATCCAAGCCGTGCGCAAGTTGAGCCACACCCAACTATATGGGGGTTACGATAGTTGGGGGTGGCTTATTGGGCTCCTTATTCTAAGGGGATCCGACTATTTTGGGGTCGATTAGGGCCCTTAAATCCCACATGAAAGAAAGTTGCATGCTAGGATCACTATCTCGGCGCGATGTGCCACAAACCACTGCAGAATGCGCGAAGTTCATCATGATGACAAGAAACGAAGCAAGCTGCGGCCTTGGCGTCGCAACGCATGCCCTCAAGGCGCCCCATACCAACCCGAAAAGGCTTAACTCCAAATTCCTGAAGCCCCGGGCACAAACACCAAATTTGGAGAGCCAAACCCCCACCCCAGCAAGAAATGTGCATGGAGCAGCCGTGAAGAAATCAAAGAATGCAAGCACCTTTGGTGTCTACATCCGGAGCCTGGCAAGCGCGGACGTCGTACGTGGACGCCGGCCGATGGCTCGATGCATCGAGCCTGTTCAGCTTCCGAGTCGGGCAGTTTCCCCAACAAGCGTGGGCTGTGCGGGTTCGTACGAGGATAAACACTATTCCCACTAGCCGAAGCTGGACAAATTACACTTCGTAGATCGAACTGTCATATTCCACACGCGCCCTTCTTTCGAACAAAATCCACCTGTTTGCTCGTAGCTCAAGGAGTTTTGCTAGAGCTGGCACCTCGAAAAACACCGTCAACAAATCAGCCGTCCCAGCCCCCAGGGGTGGGGGGGGGGGTTTGGAAGGTTGAGGGCTCGAAATTTTGTTTTTGGGGAGCGCATTGAGGGACCGGAGGGCCAACGCATTGCTTCCCAAATTCTACTTCTTCATCTGCTTGCGATCAAGGGCGTTCTCGGACCTGATCAAGAACTCATGGCCCATGTAGTCGTGATGCACAGCATGTGGTTTCAAGCTGCAAGGGCCACGTTTGAATGTTACGGGAGGGAGGGGCTGCCGATGCAAGGGAGAATTGGTCGCAGAGACAAGGTGAGAGGAGAGGGGAAAGAGAGGCCCGGGAAAAAGAGTGGTGAAAGAGCGAAGAGATAGAAAGAGACTCAAGACCGAAGCTGTAAGCCGCGAAAAGCTCACACTCTGGTTTTCTTCGGGACGTGTGAGGGCTCAAAGCTTCGATCCTTGAAGAGCGCCAGCCTCAGGCTCCCTGTGCCCCTGCCTTGCATCTCATCCATGCAAGTCACAAGGCTCACGGATGTGTGGCCGGTCACTTTCTAACCTACAAGAGACCCGGCGAGGCTGCGACGAAGCAGTGTGCGGGCATAGCTGCACGCACAAAACTGCCGGGTTTTGCGAGAACCAAACCACAACTAAGCGCCACATCCCCGCAACTAGCATGAAACCGCCAGTACAGCTCCTCCCCACCGATGCCATTTTGTAGATGCGGGCTGAGGCTGCTCGGGCTAGGCTGACACATAGCTCATGCCGCAAGCCGAAGGGCAACGGCCTTTTTGAACATGGGTGCTGATTGCCAAGTGCTGAGGAACCGGCAACGAAAAACTGCGGCCAGACGTGAAGCAGCGTGCGCTCGCCATCTGGCATCATGGGTCACGATAAGCAAAAGCTAACAGCAGGGCATCCGCTGCTACACTTCATTCTGGCGCTTTTCTTCCCATAAAACTCTTAAACCGAAGGGCTTTCGGCGGTTGACGTTGACGACGCGACTCTCCAGGCCCCTAGGCCCTCTCTTGCCACCAGTTTGTCTGCCAAGCCAAGGATGCTGATTTGGAATCCTCTGTTGCCCTGAACTCCCTAAACACTACGCCTCAATCCCCAAAGATAAACTTCCATGGTTGGTCTGTTGTTCAATGTTCTTACACGCGGAAATCGGCACTCTCCGCGGAAAGTGATGCAAAGTCTTTCGCTGCTACTCTTGCGAACCTTCGCGGGGTGTATGTTTATCTTGCGTCAGCTTGTTGCATCTGCCATGCTCTGAAACGCATTGGGGTCAGCGTCTGGGATTCTGGAATTCGTGGCGCTTTGGCTGGTCGTTTCTTGCTTCGGTTCATCTTCGTAGGCTGGGTAGGTGCGCCACCGGCCAACCACTATACGAATACCGACTGTATGTCCAGGTTCTCACGCACAAAGAAAAATGGCTGGCCTTCAAAAGCTACCTGCACTTTCGCAAGCTCTTTGTCAAGACTTCACGTGGCTTTCACGACGAAAAGTCCTCGAACAAAACCCCAAAGAAAACCCTGGAACCTACCACCCTCAGCAGAGGTTTAACGCGGCATGGCGGAATGCGCAGCTTGAGCAACTGGAGCTGCTGCCCCAACAGGAAATCAAGAGCAACCACAGAGAATAACGTCATAACTTGCGTGATAATCTAAAGTTCTTCGTCTTTCGCAGACCGTTAGCAAGGGCTATGAATGTTCATTTTCGAAGAATTAAGGGAGCTTTTTGGACAACCCTCAGATAAACGGCCTTGTCCAGCATCCCACGATTGTCGCCGTATTGCCCTGATGAGCTGGCGCTGTCATAGCCGACGTCGCTGCTCCCACCGTCCCACCCTCCGGCTCCTGCGTCATCGCCACCGTCGTACTCCCCGTCCTGGCCCTGCTGTGGGTCGTATCTCGAATAGCCTCTGTATCCATCGCCATCGCTGTCAGTGCTGCCGTCGCTGCCGTCGCTGCCGTCTTCCACAGAGGCATCCTGGAAGGAACGAGACTCCTAGGCCCCCAGCAACGCACATTCAAAGCTGCAAAACGTTAATGGCCCGACTTTGCGTGACTTTTTGCAAGCCCAACCCGAACACCTCCCTCTCGAACTCTTCGGCTCGTTCTCTCGTGTTATCTCTCTGCGGCTCTCTTGTTTTGGGGGGAACGTAGGGTTGCAGACCCCGCGTTCGGTCTCTTTCTTTCAGGGAACCTAAGGCTGCGTGGCCCTGGGAGCTCAGATCCCCCCAAAATCGTGAAGACCTCGGGGCCTTTCTTGAGTACCGAGGCCGAGGCATCTGACGGGAAAGTGCTTGCGCCACCTCCCACCTGGTGCGTGAAACAATGGGACGTTTGCTTGTTTGCCTTGCTTACCTTGTTTGCCTTGTTTGCCTTGTGTGCCTTGTGTGCCTTGTTTGCCTTTTGTGCCTTGTTTGCCTTCGCTCTACTCTGCCATCCCTCCCCATCCCTCGTTCCTGCCTCGGTTCCAGCTTCTGAACCGCCTGACTCCTGGCGGGCAGCAGCCAGTGGGATGGCGGATCAAACTAGCGTCACACACTTCCCAACACTAAGCGACTTTTAGCCCCCCCAGCTGTTTAAGTAAGCTCCTAGCGGGGAGTCTCCCCAGCAGGTCTTTGGAGAAACATCACCAGGGCCCCAGGGCTGGGAGCCGTTGACCACGGTCTGTGACCCCAACGACCCCAAGCTATCGGCCTGGAGGTTACAGTTGGGCTGATTCCTCTGGTCCGGTCCGGTTCTAGGAAAAAACTCTAGAAACCCTCCTTTGTCCGAGCCTGGTGCCTTCTGCACTCTACGTGCTGCCCATAACCAAGTGCTATCGTCGAGGTATTGGTCCTCGCGCCCTGACACTCCAAGTGCAAAAGCTGCACAACTTAGGTCCTCCCTGCCGAAACCCTTAAACCCAAACAAAACATCGCGCTGTCTACCATTGCAGGCTCCTGCGTGAGGCCTTCCGGATGGCTCTTGTCGCCCTGCCCGATCTTTGGGGGCTGAACAGTTTCTTACACCGGGCGCCTGGCCCACAGGCTGTTGTAATTCTCAAGGTTGCTTACTGCCACGGTCAGGATTTGTGGGCATACTGTAGAGTTCCAGCATTCCCCTAAACCGACAAACCCCCTCCCCTCCCCGCCCCCGCCCCCCCAAAAACCCTAAACCCTAAACCCCTAAACCCCTAAACCCCTAAACCAAAAAAAACAGAGGTTCAAGGGCCACAGCCTCGTCTGCCTTGGCCGCGTGCGGCGCATGGTGCGAAGCGTCCGGGTGCTGCCCATGGGCCTGCCACGTGGGAGTCGGGCAAAAGCCCACTCGTACACTTGACAACCCGTGGAAACAGGCCCCAAACCATGGCTTTGCCATGCATCCTAACTCGAACATTGCGCACGGCGCCAGCACCTTGCTCACGTCCTTGGCCTTCACCAGCTTCTGGGCCTGGCATGGCATTCAAGTGCTAGGTGCTTGGAGCATCTAGTCGGTGTTGCTGGGGAAGTGCAGACAGGGGTTCGACTCGGCTCTAGGATCTCAGGGTCGAGGACTCAGGGCTTTGGGGGTTTTGGGGCTGCTATGCCAACTCAAGAAAAGGACGCTTGGCAATTTGGAAGGTGGTCTGGTGACCCTACTGTAAATGAAGCAAGGAGGAAACGGACTGCGACGAGGCGGGTATAGGAGGACTAGCGGACCCTTTTGGAGGTCATGGAAGTGATAATCACAGGGAGACGCGTAGTGCATCCTTGATTGCCTTATGCTTCCTACTACCCATGAGCCCTCAAGTGTCAGCCCCGCCCCAATTCCTTGCACCTGAGGCCGAAGTGCAGGGACCCACCCCAGTCTACACGAGAAAAACTGCGCGAGGTCCACACACACCCGCAATGTGTCTGAATAGAACTGAATGAATGAACATTGAATCGACTCGCCTCGGTGTTGTTGGCTTTGGCTTGCGGCTCAGTGTCATGCTTGGCCTCCGCAGCAGACTCAAGCGCACGGCAGGGGTTCCAGTGGAACTTGTGGCGTAGCATGGTCAACGGCCCCACAACCTCAAAGTAAGCGGGGTGGGTTGAGGGGACCCCGAACCCGAAGACTCTGAACAAAGAATGACAAACTGACAGGCCAATGCTCTTCGTTTTGTTGCCACCGACTGCACCCACTTGGCGAACCGCTCCACGGGCTTGCTTGCTTGTAGGAGCTCAAGTCATTTTGCTGGCAAGATCTGTCGTAAAACTCTTGAGCTCACGAAGCAAGTCGAAGCAAAATCATACGCACGAAGTAGCCACAAGTTCTGGCAGAGGGGCAGGGAGTCTGGGACGGAGCCGAGAGGGCCGAAGGCTGTAGCCACACAAGCTAGAAAGATTGTAGGTGCCTTTACCGCCTTCCTGGGGCGAAGTTCAATCGATGCCCTTTAACCTCGAATTTGCGGGCCTCCTACAGAGTATCCCCCCTAAACCCTAAAAAGCCCAAGCCATTTTTCATGCTTCATCCGGGCCCTAAACCCTAAACCCATGCACCATTTCTTGGCCTCGACTTTCTTCTTGGCCTCCTCGGCCGTCTTCTTGGCCTCCTCGACTTTCTTCCTGGCCTCCTCGACTTTCTTCCTGGCCTCCTCAGCTTTCTTCTTGGCCTCGGCTTTCTTCTTGGCCTCCCTCTCGCGCCGGGCCTCCTCTAGGCTTCTCATCTGTTGTTGAGGGAAGGAGGGAGTTTGCGGGTGTTTAAGATACCTCTAAGCCTTGAATCTAGATTCTTAAGTCCCAAGCGCTTTATGAGAGGCTGAAGGTTTAAGATTTACATATCCAGAGCGTGAGGATTTGAAGTCTTGAACCTGTCTTTTTGTTAAATCCGCGTGGCTTGGGAGTCATAGTATTAGCACTTCAATCTCAACATTCTTATGTCTGATGCTCGCTGCATTTATGAGTTCGAACTTAATCTTGGTTGCACAGTGACTTTGTTCGACCATGCATTGCTTAGAAGCTGCTTATAAGCATTTAGGTTGCGTATAAGCAGGGGAGAAGGAGGGGTGGTTCATTCAACTTAGCCAGGACCCATGGCACCCCTCCCCCCACCTGGCTCTTAAACCTTCTTGCATCCGAACTTCTTCAGCCTGAATCACTGAACCTTCTTGTTCCTGAACCTCTTCAAGGCTGATTCCTACAACTTAACAGCGACCTGAGGGTGCAACTTCCGCCCTCTACCAGAGAAGAAGAAGAATGAGACCGACAGCAGAAGAGGCTATACTCCCCTTAGAACCCTTTAAAAAAAAAATAACAATATCCTCTTGGGCTTTATAAAAACAAAAAAAGAAGACCCAAGGGGGATATAGGAGGGGGTGGATGAGAGACTGCCGGCCGGTCGCGGCACGCCAGAAATGGTGCTTTGCACCATGTGCTGCAGACGGCTGGAGCAAGCAAGCAGCTGCAAGTAGCTGTTCAGGGAGGATTCGGAGAGGGCGGTGCTGACTTCCGGTCATGGAGGGGGCGGTGCTGACTTCCCAGGGCAACCCTGGATGGAGCTCAAGATCAGGATCTGCGCATGCGCATGCCAGAAGCGGAGGCTGACTCATGCCGACCTGTCTGACCTCCTTACCCAAAAGCGTGACCGACCAACACGATGCGCACAGAAAACCCTGACGGGGCCATGATGGCCCATTGGCTTCGCGAAGGCGACCGCAGCAGCGTGTGGTCGAGGGACCGGCGCATCGAGCTGGGGAAGCGCCTATACCAGTTTCTCAATGGCACAATACACCCCGGAAACTCCCGGTTGCAAAAGCACTGGCTGCCTGGCTCAAGGCTTCGGTGTTTGAGGTAGGGTGTGGGTTTGAAGCCTATCCTATGGGGCGAACCCTACACCCCTCCACTGCTGCGTTCTCTGTCCTCCTCCCTCTGCTTTTCTCGCTCCTCCCGCTCCTGCTCTTCCCGGATGTAGATCTCCTGACGAAGACGCGGTTGACAGTTCAGGGCTTGCTTCAGGCTGCCAGAACGGAGTACGAGGCTAGAGGATTTTGTAAGACTGCTCGCCGCCGTCTTGCAGTCCTCAAGAAAAGTGAAACAAAAATTGCAATTTTCAACTGTGAAAGGCGTGTGGATGGGAAGCTATACTTGTTTGCTCAAGGTACCTATGACTCGACTCAAACACTACCACGAGCCTGCAAGTCAGATGGGAAAGAGCAACCTTGAGCCCCAATGAACGCACACTGCTCCACCTCCCGAACACCCTAAACACCCGCCCCTTAACCGCGCAGGTTCGTAAATTCCAAAAGCGACCTCCCGAAACCGAAACGCCATTCAAAACCATCCCCAAACCACAAAACCGTCCAACCTTTTTCGGCGGGTTTAGGGTTCGCCTCTCCGTCTCTCTATCTCTTCTTCTCTCTGTCTCTCTGTCGCTCTGTCTCTCCGTATCTCTCTCTCTCTCTCCTCTTTCTCCCTGTCCCTCTGTCCCTCTGTCCCTCTGTCTCTCTGTCTCTCTGTCTCTCTGTCTCTCTGTCTCTCTGTCTCTCTGTCTCTCTGTCTCTCTGTCTCTCTGTCGCTCTGTCTCTCTGTCTCTTTGTCGCTCCGTTTGTTCCTTCTTTCTGTGTTTCATGTCGTGTATGTATGTCACTATTTTCTTTCTGTTCTTTCTTGTCTTCATTGTCCAACTCTGCTATTGTTTTATTTCTTTTCTTTTCTGTGCTATTTGTTCTTTATTTATGTATGGAATTTATTGTATTTCTTATTTTCCCCTTGATTTTCTTGATTTTATTTGTGTTTATTCGGTCTTTTCGTCACTGTCTTTATGTTTGTTATCTTCTTTCTGTTCTTTCTGTTCTTTCTGTTCTTTCTGTTCTTTCTGTTCTTTCTGTTCTTTCTGTTCTTTCTGTTCTTTCTGTTCTTTCTGTTCTTTCTGTTCTTTCTGTTCTTCCTGTTCTTCCTGTTCTTCCTGTTCTTCCTGTTCTTCCTGTTCTTCCTGTTCTTTCTGTTCTTTCTGTTCTTTCTGTTATTTCTGTTATTTCTGTTCTTCCTGTTCTTCCTGTTCTTCCTGTTCTTTCTGTTCTTTCTGTTCTTTCTGTTCTTTCTGTTCTTTCTGTTCTTTCTGTTCTTTCTGTTCTTTCTGTTCTTTCTGTTCTTTCTGTTCTTTCTGTTCTTTCTGTTCTTTCATTTCTTTCTGTGCTTTCTTTCCTTTCTTTCTGTTCCTTCCTTTCTTTCCTTTCTTTCCTTTCTTTCCTTTCTTTCCTTTCTTTCCTTTCTTTCCTTTCTTTCCTTTCTTTCCTTTCTTTCCTTTCTTTCCTTTCTTTCCTTTCTTTCCTTTCTTTCTTTCTTTCCTTTCTTTCCTTTCTTTCCTTTCTTTCCTTTCTTTCCTTTCTTTCCTTTCTTTCCTTTCTTTCCTTTCTTTCCTTTCTTTCCTTTCTTTCCTTTCTTTCCTTTCTTTCCTTTCTTTCCTTTCTTTCCTTCCTTTCTTTCCTTTCTTTCCTTTCTTTCCTTTCTTTCCTTTCTTTCCTTTCTTTCCTTTCTTTCCTTTCTTTCCTTTCTTTCCTTTCTTTCCTTTCTTTCCTTTCGTTCCTTTCTTTCCTTTCTGTCCGTCATCCCCCCCCCCCCCCCCCCCCACGCCCATTCCAGCAAGCAACCCCTAACCCTCGATCTTTCAATCCTGCAACAGCACCCGGCCTCCACTGCCCTCTCGACCCCAGAGACTTCAGACTGCGCCTCGTTTTGCATGGCCTTGGACTTGTGGTTGAACATTCAGGGCTTGCGGTTTCGAATTGATGTTGGGTGTTCGGGCTTGGGGCGTGACAGCAAAGGGTCCCGCACAACCGAGCGATGCCGTCAATATTCCCCGAAAGCGGTGAAGATCTTTCCACGGACGACCTTTCTCATGCTTGATGACTGTCGATGACATCTGGTGGGAGTCGACCTCTCGGTACCTCCAGTCCTATTACTTGCGCCTACACCCGAGGCGAGGCCTGTGGGAGGAGTACAGCAAATTGGCCGTGGCAGGTTTTGCCAAGTTATCTCTTGATGAAAACACCACTCTCAGATCGCACGACTCAAAAGTGGGAACCTCTCGGTGGACGCGGCTGTCGTTGCGTGACTTTTTTCAGGGGATCATGTGAGGGGTTCGGGGTTCGGGGTTGGGCAAGGTTGTATGGAGGCTGGGCAAGGCTGTGCGGCTCTGATTAAATTGGAAGTTATACAGCATGAACAAGTGAGGAACTAGGGGATTCAAAGTTGTGTCTTGTTTATGTGTTGAACCCTCTGTCTCTTGCAGGTCCGACGTGTCGTCCATTACTGCTTTTTGTATATCGACCTAGCTTGCAATTGTACGGCAAACACACCGTAGGTGCACACATGGCCCTACAGCACCTTCGTGCAAGCCAGGAGGCCTCCTGAAGGGGCACGGAGTGTCCTGGCAGCTCGTCGTCCTGCCCACAGAAGGACCGCTCCAAGCCCATGCCACCCTAAGCCCGAAGACCTGAAGCTCAGGCCAAGCCGAAACCACATGCGAAGCCTGAAACCCCATAACCACGTAAGCTCTAGGATGTCAGCGGACAACCTCCTCCAACCCCAGAGGCAGCAACCTGCGATTCTATTTGGGGGGCTACGCACGCAACAAATTTTTCTGTTTCACAACCCTCAACCCTGCCTCTTTTTTCACGATGCCTTAGACATTCCCAGGCCTCCCCTCAAGCGAAACCCTCCATCAAAGCCTTAAAGCCACTGACCCTGCCCACCCCCCTTCAAAATAGAAATGGACGTCCTCGCACACACGAGGCACGCCTGGCGCCCCACGCCTCAGTGCAGGCCTAGATGGGCTACACCTTTTGGGTCCCGTTTCCTCTGCTAAACCCTGTGTTACTGACCCCTGAACCCATTTCAACTACAGGCGAGAATAGGAAGGCCAGATGGATTCAGGGTCCTACCAGCTTGGTTGTTGGGAATTGGCGCCAGGGTCAATCCCAGCGCCGAAGAGCAAAAGAAGCAGCCCTCGGGTTTCGGGCTCGGGGCGGAATAAAGGTAACAAGCCGGAGGCACATGTACAGGGCTTTGGCGACCTCCTGATTGCTGGACTTCGACGACAATTCTGGAAAGAGCTCCGGGTCCTTGACCTGGGCTAGGGGCTCAAAGCTGAAATAGTAAAATCTTAAAATCCACCCTGAACCCGAAAAGGGGAATGGGAGAATAGGAATTCAGGGGGTTAGGGTTTCAGGGTGTGATAACACTGTGCGGTCTTCCCACGGTCCAGTCTAGAGCGCAGCGCGCCCGAAGCTGAAAACCATGAGCCTTCGGGGCCAGGGCCATGGGCTCGTTGAGTTGTTAATGGCTCTACAAAAAGCCAGGTGAAAGCAATATGCTCACAGGCTCCTAAACCAGGGTCTAGAGCGCACAGGGTGCCGAGAGAAACCGTAGCCAATGTTGCAATCGACCAGCTCGACCCAATCCATCAGTCTCGGCACGTTTGGGGGTTTACGAAAAAAAAACCCAAATAGTAGGATCCCCTTATGACCCTAAACCCTAAGCCCTAAACCCTAAACCCCGAACATCGTAAACCCCCATTTTGTGGCACACATAAACCTTTGCCTTCCCCCGGGCTCCCAAGACGCAGACAACCGGCCCCGGTCCCCACGTGAACGAATATAGGGGGCCTTAATGGAGTTTTGGGGGGTCCTTAGAGTATGAATATAAGGACGCCCTGGGGGGGATGCGATTGGTGATTGTTCCGGCCCCTTTGAGTACTTTCTCCACGGCCCTGGCCATCTGCTTGCGGCACTCCTCGATGTGGATCATGCCTGAGAACTGATTCGGGAAACCCTTTCAGGTTTAGGGTTCAGGGTTCAGGGTTCAGGGTTCAGGGTTTAGGGTTTAGGGTTTAGGGTGCGGAGCTGCAATTGGTATTGTAGAAAGGAGTTAGTGTTGGAAGTTGGAAGGGTTAATGAACCCGGTAATCGTATTTGGCTCAAGATGGGCTTGAACAGAAAGCCACAAGTTCAAAAAGAAGTGCCTGGGTTCTTAGGGTTTGGTAAGGGTGTGGATTCCTTCCCCCTTTCCTTTCCCCCTGGGTTGCTCTTATCCGTGTTCTTGGTTGTTTCTTGGTTCGATCTGGGAAATATAAGTTCAGGGCGATTAGGGGAGTTGATTTCCTTCCTTGGTTGTCCCCCCGTAGGTTATGAGCCCAACTTAGGTTCCCTGCGGTTAAGTGTTCTTTCAAGGTTTTGGGATCAAGAAGCAATGCCTTCTCCGAAGCGATGGCTCCAACTTGTCCTCGGATGGTGGACAAGATGGTGGAGCTGGAAATGGTGCAGCTGAGTCTCTGGGTGAAAGATCGGTGTTGGAAGAGGTGATTCCCGACGCTGAAGTACATCTGGAAGAGGCCTTGGTTGCAGAAAGCCCCAATTCGGGTATGAATCCCAATAGGGATATGGTTAGCAATGCTGAAGCTGAAGGACGTGCTGTTTCTGTACCGCCAAAGCCTGGTGAAAAAAGGAACTGGGATGCGACTGGTGGCATAGATCGTGAAATGGAGGTGACTGTTTTACGAGTGTTACACAAACACGGGTACCAGCCGTCGTCTTCGACTTCGGGTCGAATGGTAGACCAAGAGTCTCAGACCGATCTGATTGGAGAAGTGCTACAAGCGACCAGGAGGCCGTTGAACAAGATCAAAAAGGGTCCATCTTCGAGTTCCCAAGGTGGTGGAAGTGGTCACAAACAGAAGGGCGCGGACGGCTTTGAAGCTGCACCTGCTGCTGAATACGCCATGGGGGAGGAGGAGATCCTACAGATGGAGGCTGAGAGGTTGCGACAGTTGTCCGAAGAAGAGGACGAGATGCGACAGGTCTCTGAAAGGGATGGTTTTCGGAAAGACGAGCATCTGATCAAAGCGTGCGATGGGACAACGTGGGAAAGGCACCTCCATGAAGATGGGAGACAATATTATTACTGCCTGGATACGCAGGAAAGCAAGTGGACATTGCCGGTGGTAGGTGAAAAGATGAAGAGTGACGAGGTGGTTGGGTCTCCTTCGGGCAATGAGCTGGAAATGGAGGCGGCACTGGATTCTTCATCCTCTACTCCGAAGACTGAGTCTACGAGGGCATTCCAGGGTAGTGTAAATAGTTTAGGTGAAAAAGATTTTTCCTCTACTATCAGGGATAGCGGTCCTAGGGCTGGTGGTGACGCCCCGACCTCGGGTTCTCCTGATGAGGAAGGGATTCCTGGGAACCAAGCCAACATCGCTGGAGCTCAACACCTGGATCGGGAAGAAACAGGAGCCTGCGGTGGAAGAAAGCGTGCCTGCCGTGGATGATCGACTCAATTGCCCTGCAGTGGAGGAAGATTTGCCTGCTGCAGAAGGTGTGACAAAGGACTCCAATGATGGGTCCACTCCCATGAAGGGAGAAGTGTTGCCGTCTGGAAGTTCGCCGGAAGTCGACACCGAGCGAATTACAGCAGATGAGGCAAAGCCTTTGGCGGAGAAAAAGGGAGGTCCTGAAATCCAGGAGCACAAAAAAGATGAGCTTGTGGGACTCGTGGAGCAGGACGAGCAGTGTGACCCAAAGGTGAAGACAAAGGATGAGCCAGGAGCCGATGATACAGAGGTGGTTTCTGAAGAGCATGCAAAGAAAGTGCCCCGAGCGGGAGCCTTGGAATCACCTGGGACACATTGCTATCAAGAGGGAGATGAGATCATGGGTCTAGTGCGCTGCATCAATGGGTATGGAGCCTTTTTGGACCATGGTGATATGAATGTATTGGTTCCTGCAGAAGGGAACAATGCATATCAGTTCAAATTTGGTGATACTGTCAATGGAACAGTGAAACGAGTGGAAGATGATGGTACCATAATCTTGGACACCTTTCTGGTTTTGGAAGAGGACGTGGAGGACTCTTCTTCGACGCTGCGGAAATGGAAACCCAGCGGCTGGAGTACGGGGTGGACGGATTCATGGTATGCTGGTCAATGGTACCAAGATTCCAACGGTCAATGGGACTGGAAACAGGAGGAAGAGCAATCCGATGAAGAGCTTGTGGTACAGGAGTTGTCTTCTGAAGAACGAGAAGAAAGGCAACTTCATGGAGAAAAGATCTACAAAGCTCTTCTGGAGAATGGAAATGAAGAGGAAGCCTATGTTGGCAAAATTACTGGGATGCTGTTAGGTCGGCCGATGGAAGATTTACAGGAGTGTGTTGCGGATCAGGCATTCCTCAATGCGGAAGCTCGGCGCGCGTATGGCATCTTGCAAAATGATGGTTGGAAGCCTGATGGTACAGAAAGCACAGGCTTGGGGAAGTTAACCACTTTTTCCCGAAAACAGTACCACAACGCGCTTTTCGAACTGGCATGCAGAAAAAGGAGATTTTCTCGACCAGTTGTGGGTGAAGCGGTGGCAACGGTGCTGAATCAAGGGGAAGATGAGGTTTGGAACGCGCTTTGGTTGGACACCAAGCTATTTTTGCAGGAGCTTGATGGTGCAGTGCAATCCATGAGCAAAAGGGAGAACAAGCCAATGGAAGCCTACATGGATCCTGACCAGTACAAAAAGGCTTACATGACACCAAAGACGGTGTTGTCACCTGGTTACAGCAAGCTGTGCAGGTTCTTCAATAAGGGAAGGTGTCGCAATGGCGATGGGTGTCCCTATGAGCATCGTCGGTACGGTGAAGGTTGGCCAGAAGGGGGTCAACTGATCCAAAGAATAGCCAAGAAGCTGATGATGAGGACGGGAACATCGGTGACCCTCCCACAGAGGAAGGTACAGTGGATGAGGCACAGCAGGAGCGGGAGGATTTAGCCTTCCGGGCCAAGTACAATTTTGGCAAAGGTGCATCAAAGGGTGAGCCTACGTCAGGTGAGCCAAAAGGTCGGCTGTGTCTGTATTACAATCAAGGTGGTTGTAAATATGGGACTGCATGCAGGTACCTTCACAACGATGATGTAGCATTGGAAGGGACTTGGGAGCCCGGCAAATCTTGGGACAATGCTTCCAGGAAGTCACTAAGGGACGCAGGGTTCCACAATTGCTGTTTCGATTATTACCTCCGAGGACGTTGCCGGAAAGGGTTAAATTTCTGCAAGTACTCCCATGACGAGATGTCAGAGGAGCGGCTATCGCTCCTGAAACACTTGGTACAGGTGGCCAATCAGGTCCGGTTTGAAAAAGAGAGAGGATGGGAGCTTACGGATAGAAGCACTTTTCAGCCACCTGCGAGTGGGGGAGCTGAATCTTCCTCATCCTCGGCACCAAAAGCGCTGCAAATGACCAATGTGTCACAAAAAGATGGTGAAAATATTCTGGATGAAGTAGAAGCTGATGAGCAAAAGAATTCGGTGGCTGCATCCACTAGTACTCAGCTTCACAATCCGGAGGAGCCGATTGAAAATTGGATGGCTCGCAATGCACACCTGTGGGTGTATACCCCTCATGTGAGTGAGGTGATGATTACGCTTGGTGTGACCAATGTGTCGGACTTGCAAGAGTTCATCTTTGTGGAAGATTTGGTTGACAAAGGGATCAACAAAGTGACCGCATGCAAAATTCTGCAATTGGTGGGTGAGGTCCGATATCGACCGGGAGGACCGGAAAAGGCAGTTCCTTCTGATGCATCTGTACGGGTACAACAATCTTCTGGGAACAGAGGGACTGGAAGAGCGGCGGTGCGAACCCTCACTCAGGTGCGTGAAGCTGAAGACTCCGGTGCAAAAACTATGCCGAGAGGTTCCTATCGGGAGCTTTTTGATAAGGTCAGGTACCGTGATGGTTGGACGCTTGCGCAGAGGTCTCCGTTGTGCGTACAGAAGCTGCGGTTGGTGGGAGTTGGAATGCCGCCGGTGAATCCACCAACGAAAAAGTATCGGTCAAGATCAAACCCTGTAAGAAGGGGAAGGCCCTTGCTGGACAAAAAACAGGTGCGACAGGTGCCACGATCTCGGTCACAACGACGAGTGCAACTGGCGGAAGTGGTGGAAAAACCGAAGCCACTGGAGCCGGTGAAACCTCGTGGTGGTTTGTCGTATCCATTCAGCAGAGCGTGGGCAGATGTGGGGGATGATGATGACCAGGCGGAGGCTTTGGTCTCGTATGCCGCTTCCTCAAGCGATTCAAGCGAGGAGGAGACCAATGCGGTACAACGCCTGAAGGAACTCTTTTTGCAAGAAAGGGATTCGTGGAGAACTGCGAGTCGTGGCAATGTTCCACAAAGTGGTTCTTCAGGCTCCAATGATGGGCCGAAAAAATCGGTTCACCTTGGCGAAGGGCGCGACAAAGCGTCGCGGGGGGAGACCCGCCAAGAAGTGACTTCACAAGTTTTTTCACTACCACAACCTTCTCGTCGAGCTGAACGGTCTCAAAAAAGAACAAGGGATGGTTCAGTTATGGTTGGTTCGCTGGCGGTGGGCTCCACGGATGAGGTTTTACCTGGGCAAGGTGCTGCTGGACAGGTGAATGTCTCTGAAAGCGCTCAAGTTCTTCCTGGGCATGAAGTGGCTGGACAGGAGACGGCGCCGGAAGGAGCAGTACAGATTTCTGGCGAGGAGACCGACCAAAAAGAAGGAGAAGGCGGGAGCAATGATCTCCGTGGTAATGATGCGAAGATGTTGGATGGTGGTCCGGTGAGGAGTGACCTTCAGCAATTGCTGGTGAAAGGCCTTCTGACTCGAGTTTATTGGAAGGTTGCAGTTGGCAAGTTGCCAATGGGGCAAAGAGATTGCCAAAAAGGGTCCAATAAGATGGATCGAAATTTGGTTATTAGCATGTCATCCGAGGGTGCAAGCGAACAGGATGAGAACCTGGCACTGGAGGACGATGCTGATCAGTCAATGGGTGACGGTGCGATGGTTGTTCTGGTGTATGATCCAAGGACGCTGATTCAGTCGCCAACAACTGATTGGGTTATGCGTCGCGGTCTGACCGATCGTACTGTCTGGCCAGCAATGGCGTACATGGCACAGAGGATATGTGCTGAAATGGTTCAAGTGGATGAAATGAATGCCCAGCTAGGGACTGGAGCACTCCTTTTTCAAAGGAGAGATCAAGGACATTATACTGACCTGCATCATTCGTTCCATGACAACCCGTGCTTGCCGGCGGTGGGGAATTACCCTCTTTCGGTGATGGGTGCCTTGTTGTCTCCTGGTCTGGAAGGGGAATTCAAGAATACTGACAAGTTTGGAACTGCTATGGAGGCAATTGCCTACGATTGGAGCCGCAGTCCAGGCATGGAAGTTCATATTGAACTTATGGCGAGGGTATTCAAAATGGTTCACCCATTCCTGAATCTGGGAGCCCAAGGGTCGGTGATGGTTTCGGAATTTCTCTGGCAGCGCGGGAGGGCTCGGTTGATGGAGTTCCTTCAAGCGGCGACTTGTGCGGACCAATTGGAGGCTCTCTGGAGAAGGATGGACGACGATGCTGATGAAGAGGTGGATCCTTCGACAGCGGTGCTGGAAGTTTTTGGACCAGAGGGTGCGGTGCTTGATCAAGGGAACAATGAATCCCTTATTCCCATTGAAGATGCTGGAGGTGAGATAAGTGGTGACACTGGAGGGGATGGCAAAGCGCCAGAAGTTTCTCCGGAAGAGGAGACATCCAGTGGGTCATCAAGACTGGCGGACACAAGGATTTTCTTGTGGTCAGTGTACTCCCGCGTGGCTTCGAATTTCTCTATGCAGGACCGCACTACTGGTAAGATCTTTGACAGCACAAAAGGGTATCCTGGTGAAGGACCAAACAATGATGACAATCCTTCCTCTAAGGGGAACTTACCTTGGATCTCGGAAGACTACCTCGACGAAGTGGTGTCAAAAAAGATGGAAAGGTCTTCAGATATGGATGGGTTTGTTCCGGGAAGTGAGGGACCATTGGAAAAGGTAGAGGTGGAGAATGTTACTGCCTCTAAAATTCTTATGGCTCTTTGGAAGAAGGGACATAGAGTTGGTTATAGGAGGTTGTGTCGTTTGAACGCATCTGGATGCAAGGTTGGAGCAATGAAACGTCCAATCAAAAGGGTGCAGAAGATTGGCACTAGAAAGGCCTTCATGAAGATGTTCAATGTTTTTGGATCGTCTCAGCATGGCTCAGGAGTTGGCGGAAAACCGATCATGAAGGTGGTAGGACCAAGGCCAGGTTTTCCAGCTGTACTCCAAGCACCAAATACTGATAGCACGTCGGGTGAAGGGAGCAGTCCCAGGTACATGGCAATGTTCATGTAGAGCACAGTCGCCCTATGGACCGGTATGAGGCAGAGCGCTTGGAGAAGAGGAAGAAGGGTTTCTGCTATTGGTTTGGCAAAAGGAAAGATCGCTGCAAATTTGGTGACGACTGCAAATTCATCCATTCCGAAGATGATGTGGTGCTACATTCATATTGGTGCAAATACTATGTGGCAGGGAGAGAATGTTTCGCTGGAAAGGATTGTGGGTTCTCGCATGATGCAACTGGTGTGAGGTGCGTCCAGTTTGCTCGGTCTGGGAAGTGTCGATTTGGTGACAGGTGTGTCTTCGAGCATGGTGTTCCGTTGGAAAAACAGAGGCCAAGGTCTCCAAGGACGCCCCTAAGGGATGGTCCAAGGAGAAAGTCTGGTGCAAATGGTGGAGAAAAGGAGATCCCTCCTGAACAGTTCGATGATGATGAGGAGGATTTTATGGTTTATGACGAAGAGACCAAGATGACGGAACTGTTGATGGAGGCGATTTCATTTCTCTCCGGTGGCAAGCCAGATTTGGCTCGAGCAGAGGCGGAACCATTGTTCAAACTCCTGAAGTTCACTGGAGATGCTGACCAAATGGATCAAGTATGGGTTTCGTGGACCACTGAAATGTTGTCAGTGCTGGAACTTCTCGAAGTAGTGAAGTCGTATGATGTTTCGCTCGCGGAGGTGGAAGAATGGGTCAATGACCTGAGGATATGGTATGAGCGAGCCAATTTGGGAGAAGAAAAGGATCCCAAAAAAGGGAAAAAGAGGTCCCTAGAAGGGGAGTCCAGCAAAGATATTCCTGCCGAAAAAGAAGTGGTTGAGACTTCGGAGACGGAGGTTGCCGTTGAGGAGGAGAAAAAAAAGGTAAAAAAGAAGAGGAAAGCTGCAGCTATCGAAGATCCTTACACTCTCATGGTTCCAAAGCCGAAGAAGATGCCGGCGATCATTGAGAAGGGTGGATCAACATCCAATGTGGTGGCTTCTGCAGTGGAAAAATCCTCGAAGACGCGCACAAAGTCAAATGTCGGTGGAAAGACAAAGAAGAAGGAGAAAAGTCAGAGTCCCAAAAAAGAAGAGGTGGTAATGGTGCAAGATCCTGAGGAAAAGGATCGTCCATCCGATGCGGAGGCACCAGGGTCTGCCAATGCGAATGAAGAGCTGGGTCAATCTTGCCAGGCGATTGAGGACGCAAAGAGAGAAGGATTGGTATCCTCAATTCAAAGGGGCATACAGGATCCTATTCTTACGATTTCGGACCTGGAGTATATTCTGCTGCAACTTCACCTCAAGATTGCCAACAATCGGAAAAAGAAGTGATTGGATGGTATGGATGAAGGGATGGTTTTTCTCTTTCTGGAGACAGGTGCGCTGGAACAGCCAATGTGCTGACAAATGTGGTGGTTACTCTTAAGGGTATGGAAATCCCTGATAGTAGAAGTCAGTAGCTTTTCGCGTAGCGAAGACCACGGTTTGTGGTGAAGAAGGCCAAGGAGTCTTCAGTGATGAGAGGATCATGGTGAAAAAAGATTCTCTATGGGTAGTAGGTTAGCCAATGTGCTATAATTCCGTCCTGGAAGACGTTAAACCACAACTTGCATTTCAAGCAGCTGGCTGCTGCCTTAATGGCAGTTTTTGGCCGAAAGACCTGCATCTCCAATGTGTCCTAGGAAATCCTAGGACAGGGGGAGTGCGGAGCTGCAATTGGTATTGTAGAAAGGAGTTAGTGTTGGAAGTTGAAAGGGTTAATGAACCCGTAAACTATGTTTGGCTCAAGGATGGCCAGCCCGTCCAAAGAAAAAAGTCCGTGTTTGGGAGTGAGGGTTGGGTTAGTGCCCCTCTACCTGTGTAAGGGTGCCCCTTCCTTGTTGCTCTTATCCGTGTTCTTGGTTGTTTCTTGGTTCGATCTGGGAAATATAAGTTCAGGGCGATTAGGGGAGTTGATTTCCTTCCTTGGTTGTCCCCCCGTACCCTAAACCCTAAACCCTAAACCCTAACACATTAAGTATATGCTCCGTAGTATGATGGAGTAGCCCAAAGGGACCATGATGTGAACCAACACCCACGTGGAACAGACCCGGCCGGCACCTGCAGCATGCGAATGACCAGCCTTGCAAGCCACAGCAACCAGGCTTAGGGTTTAGGGTTAGGGTTTAGGGTTTAGGGTTTAGGGTTTAGGGTTTAGGGTTTAGGGTTTAGGGTTTAGGGTTTAGGGTTTAGGGTTTAGGGTTTAGGGTTTAGGGTTTAGGGTTTAGGGTTTAGGGTGGGAAATCCGGACCGGACCCGCTTTTGCCTGAACCTTCCGAATCAAAGCACCCCTCTTCCTTTCTAGGGGCCCAGGGGGGTCGGGGCGCAACCTTTGCCCAGGGTAACGGGATGACCCGGCAAACAACGCGCTCAGATGTGCCAAGACTTCGACCCCCAGCTCCCCCAGTCAATCTCTACAGCATGGTGTCGGGACAGACTTGCGGTTCGCAGGGGAGCATAGCCAGCCCGGGCAGTTTCTCGACCGCCAAAGTCCCAGAGGCACCACAGCCACTGTAGGACATCCCCAACTCCACCATAGCTGCTTCCGGCTTGCTAGTATGCCTGCCGTGCGATGTCACGACCTCATGGTCCCTAGATTCAGCTGACAGCCCTGTCCCTCTGGCAGCTGTTTAGCTTAGACACGCTCACTCCATTCTGTCGCGTATGTCGCGTGCTCTTCGCCCCCACTCCCATCGCTGAAAGGATCTTAGGCTGCCTTTTGCTGTTCTTCCGCGCCATGCTTTGTCGTGCTTTCATGTCCACCTTCTTTGTTGCCCCTCTCCTTCTTCAACATCTTCTCTTTGATTTGCTGCGACAACTAAGCCCGGTGCCAGGGAATTGAGGCGTGTAGGGCACGCAGGCTTGCTCCTTAGCAGCTGCGCGGGGACGCTGAGAGGTAGTGTAAGGACTAAATTTTCAGGGGGCGGGTGGGTCTAATTAAAGGTTATCGAGGCTGCGTTCCCAAAGTTCCGAGCGGGCACCTCTTGTTGAACCGGGCCTCTTTTGTTCTGTGCTCTTATGGGCCTGGCTCAGAAGACGTCTAGAGGTGACGAAAAGGCATCACAAGAGCTTGCCAAGATTCAAAAGACGGTGCGTGGAGAGCCGAAAACAGCATTGCAGATCACTCTGCGACTATTAAGGGTAGCGACCATCCCGTCACATGTTCATGGGGGTTCTTAAGGGTGCTTTCGGTTTGGGGTGTTCAGCTTGGGGTTTGAGGGGCAAAGCCTCCCGCCCTGATGTTCTGAACGTTTTCGTTCTCAGGGTTTATCTGTGTTCAGGGTCTTCGGGCTCAAGGCCCACTCCATTCTGCAAAGTGTTAGATGCCGGCTAGTTCTTTGAGAGGACCTGCTTGTGTGATGGCATGTTGTGGCCCACAAGCCCAGCCCAAACGCATCCAAAGACCAACACAGCAAAACACCCAGCTGTTGTGGCTCCGGCCATCGGCAAGCAGGGTCGTGGGCAGCCATGCATGTCACCGTTGTGGTAGTAGGCCTCGTGGGTTTGGCTGGGAGGGAGTGAGGGCTTGGGGCGGCTCTTCTTTTCATGGCCGTCATATGATCTTGCCGAGAACCCGCCGTCGGGCTCTTCTTTTAAAGATTGCCACTGATATTCAGGGCTGCTTGGCTGCTTTAAGGCTGCTTTTAGGATGCGTTCAGAGACCGCTACTATCATGGCATGCACCTGTCAAGTGGGACGTGGCCATTTGGCTGACACAAAGCCCAGGCTTTCAATCAGCAACCTTCATGCCGAGTGGCGCCTGCGCGCATGAAAGCCCGCTTCTTTGAGGCTGGAAGAGCCGTAAACCCGAAACCTTCATCCACGTGCCTGGAAGGCCGTGTAGCTGGAGTGCACGGTAAGCCCAATGTAGTGATCCGGGTTTTGTGCCTGAGGCACTGGGTGGAGCTGGAGGGTTTTCACCCAACTTCCCGCGAAGAGTCCCAAGCCCTGCAGCGGAGTTCAGGTAACCCCTTAACCTTGGGATGTTTCCCCTGAAACAACAATCCTTAATAGGGATCATCATAGGGGGTACTATAATGCCGATCAAGGACTGTTCGCTGAAGGGGGAACATCCCAACCTAGACCGAACAATACTCCCCCAAACGAAACCATCACCCGAAACCGTTCGGCGGACGGCAAGTCGAACCTTCAGGTTCAAACGTTCACGATGTTCAGGGCTTGGGACTTGTTTGGCTCCCTCACACCTAATTAAACAACAGATCATCGTTACTTTGGTTCAGATCATCGTTACTTTGGTTCAGGATTCATGGCGGATCTTGCCTCTTCTCCCAGCTGCCATAGCAGTGAAAGGCAGTCGACCCCCCACTACCCCACCAAACAGCGTACAACACTCCAAGATGACCCGAACGAAGCACTCCAAGAACCCCAGGGGGGGGGGGGGGCGGGGGGGTTAGGGTTAGGGTGGGTTGTAGGGTGTAGGGTTTAGGGTTTGGGGTTTGGGGTTTGGGGTTTGGGGTTTGGGGTTTGGGGTTTGGGGTTTGGGGTTTGGGGTTTGGGGTTTGGGGTTTGGGGTTTGGGGTTTGGGTTTGGGGTTTGGGGTTTGGGGTTTGGGGTTTGGGGTTTGGGGGGGTTTGGGGTTTGGGGTTTGGGGTTTGGGGTTTGGGGTTTGGGGTTTGGGGTTTGGGGTTTGGGGTTTGGGGTTTGGGGTTTGGGGTTTGGGGTTTGGGGTTTAAGGGGTGGCGACCGCTAAGAATGGAGAATTTGAGGCCCCAAGCGAATGGGGCGGCGCCCTCCATTTCTCGCAGATGCTGTGAAAGTTTTAGGCTGAAGCCTGTCTAAGCACATGTCGATGCTCAGATGTTGAAGAGTATAGAACCTTTTTGGGGTAGTATACTGGAATCCCCCTATAACTACCCCAAAAAGGGTTTAGGGTTTAGGGTAGGGTTTAAGAAATTAGGATACATGTAAAGCATGGAAGGCGTTAGGTGGTACCCAGTCCACCCTTCTTGCCTCCCAGTTTGCCCTTCTCCCTAAGCCCTAAACTCTAAACCCTAAACCCTAAACCCTAAACCCGGAACCCTAAACCTGAACTCCTGGGACTGCGACGAATCCGTGGGTCATGGCGTGCAGGACAGCCTTGCCACCTGGCGTCAGGCTTCCAGGATTTGCTAAGAATCTGGAGCTTTGGGCTCATGGTTCAAGCTTTTGGTGTCGACAACCCTAAACCCTAAACCCTAAACCCTAAACCCTAAACCCTAAACCCTAAACCCTAAACCCTAAACCCTAAACCCTAAACATGACTCCACCCACGACATGCCGGGGTCCGGAATCCGGAAGCTCACCAACCCTCATCTGCATAGCTGCACCTACCAAATTTACCCCTTGTGGGCAGGAGCTAAAGTTCACAAGCAGGATGCACTCCGAACGGACTACGTGGCACGGTCTCCACAGTGCGTGCATCATGTACCAGACTGCGGTCTGATACTTGCTGGGGGGCTCACGGTTGTTTGGCAAGATACACGCATGAGACATCCCAGAACTTTAGGGTTTACTCAGTTTCTCTGCGGGGTTCAGAAGAACACACTTGCCATCTGCGACACAACGACGGCGGTGTGGCATAGTGAGTTCGTCGGCATGTTGGCACACTGCAGCCTCAGCACTCCCGGCAAAGCCCCCAAAATGTCATGCAGCTGTTGATGCCATGCCCTGAACCGAAACCCAATCGGCCAACACCCCAAATCTTCAAGTGCAAAGCGCGAGGCCACGCGATGCCTAAACAGCAAAATCCTAGAGCTTTTTCGCTTGGTTCATAGCGCTTGGACTCTCGGAAAGCCAGGTGAGAAAGCCCAGGGCCTCACTCACTGGTCCGGGCCTTCTTCTTCGAGGGTTCTGCCGGATCGGTCGTCTGGGACTGTAGCCAATCCGCCCCTGGAAGGAAGGACAAGCCATCCACATGACCACCTGCCGCCTGCCGCATCAAAAATCATGTTCAGAGGGCCTAGGGAAGTTTTGGGTTTCAATGGCTGCGGCTGTGCAGGTTTGCGAATTACGGCTTAGGAACCATATGCTTCTTTGTCTCTATATATGGTCTCGGAATTCGGGACGTCGGAAGAGAGCAATGCTACGAAAGTCTCTTTCTAAGCTTCAAAACCAAAGTCCCTGCAGGGCCCTGCACTTCTCCAACAACTGAGGAGTACGAAGGCTTAGCTGCCTTACAAGCACTGCGAGCCTGAGGCCCATGGGCTAAGAATGGTAGTGAAGTGTGAGGGTCAGCCACCTTACTGCCCTTCTGTCAGGCTGAGGGCTTCGGGCCTCTCTGCACCTAGTAGGCCTTTTTTGAGATTTGGGAGGGGCCTGCGCTTCTTGGCATACACCTGCCACCACTTCCTCCGCACCGGGAGGGAAAATGGCAAAGGCGGAGTCGTCGTCAATCCATCGGATCCTCTCTTACCCACACCCGACGACTAAGGGCCTGGGAAACAGTGAGGCTTGGTTTTTTAGGGTTGTGGGGCAGAAAGTTCACCAAGTTTTAGCTGCTACCTTCAAAAAGGCCAAGAATCTGGAAGGAATCCTCCTGGGCTTTGCCGTCTGAGGTATCCATCTCGGAGCCCCCCCGCTTTGTCCTGACATTCTTAAGAATGCTCTGAAGAACAGTGGTGAACTCCATGGCGTTTCGACCAGTCAGCCCACGAGTGTGCAGGTAGACCCCGTCGATGATGAGCTCATCCTCCCCGTGCAGATTGACGTTGAAAAAGTTTCGGAACAGGACAAGGCGGCCATTGAAGCGCATGTCGCCTTGGTTGGCCAGGAGGTGCCTGGCCATGTATGCAAAAGCACCTCGCTTGCTCTCAGGGCTGCTTCTGAATGCACACAAGTGCTGTGGTTGTTCAACTTGACCAAGAACAGCTACAAAACGATTTCTACAAAAACGGTTCGCCAATGTAACGAAGAAGCACATCCCGTTATGTAAGCATCAAAGCCCGCTTCGTGGTAGGCAGCGGCCGTTGCATACCTCTCATGCCCCTCGGCCAAGGCGACCTCCACCACCTCGTTCCCTTCTGCTTTTGTAGCAGCGGCTTCCTCCTGGAGGACCCGGTGCACCTCTCCAAGTGCAAAGCTCTTGAAGCGCTGTTGCGGCTCTCCTCAGGGCCTATAATGTCCCCTGTTGGTGAGTTTACAGGGTTCCCCCCCACCTTGGTCTCTGAAGTTGCCTAGAACCGACTCTTGGGGGGTATTGGCCAACCCTCGCCTGAGCCTGTTTTGAGCTTGAAAAGGTCGCTCCTGGCCAGCAGCTGCGTATCATAGACAGTGGGGAAAAGCTCACAGACAGCTTGCTTGAAGTCTGCGAAAGATTCCGGCAGGCTTGCCTCAAAATGGGAGAAGGCAAACATCAAGTCGTACAAGCAAGCGTGGCCAATGATGGGTTTCTTGGCGTTGGCCAAGGCCGCAAACACCCGCCGAACACCCACTTTCATGTTGAACTCCGCCTCCTTCTCTGCACGGAGCTTTGCACTCCGCTCCATCCTTTCAGCTTCGGTGAGTCGGAGAGCAACCATGGTAGACAGCCCACGGATTTTCGTGGGCCGGGACTCCACGACCAAGTCGGGAAAGTCGTCACGAAGCGTCTCGTGCATGAACCGACGCAAGTAGCCATTTGCAGTTATGATCTCAAACTCTTTCTCATCCCCTCGTGCATCATCAGACAGCCAGTCCTTCAAACTGGCTACAGCTTTGCTGGTGTTCTCAATGTCTGCCTCGCTCGTTAATTGAATGCGTTTGCTGGGGGCCGCAGCCTCCTCGGGGAAGAGCTGGAGCTTGAGCCGGGCCGCTTGCTCTCGAGTCATGTATGGGATCCCTTCTCGGATCCAGACATTCCAGTCCATGCCGTTCTTGGAGTTGAAGTGGACAGAACTGGCTTCCATGTTCACCGGGCCGGCGCTCGGAAAGACGTAGAAGTTGTACGCTCGCGCCACGTACCTGTCGTCGGCCTCCCCCTGTCTCGCAAAAAGCGCAACGCCGAACTGTATGACACTGTAGTTTGAGGCCACCTGCCTCATCTTTGAGTAGCGGGTGCTTGGCGCATCGCCCACGAAGTCCTGAAGGCCGGGTAGGAAGATGCCCGTCATCTCCTCATCAATAGCCACGAACTCGGCGGTCGGAAGCAACCGCTCGATCTCAGCGGCCACATCCGGGAAGTTACTCTTTGTGACGTTCATGGCGCCGCGGGGCCTTTCATGTGGCCTTTGCTTTGTAGGCGTTTTTGTATGTCAACTTCTCATGGCATCAGGCGCATCTGGGTCAAGTAAGTACATCCGTGGTGGGATTTGGGGGTAGGTCGCAAGAAGGTCTGTGGTCAATGGGCGTACGGATTGAACTAGTTCAGGGGTTGCGTGCTCAAGGTGCTATGTGGCATGTGCAGCAGAACCTGCGAAGCTGCAAAAAAGTTGGACGCAACAGGGCCACACACGAAGCTCCTGCCCCCTGCGCCGCTGCAATTCCTACATATGTGCTCGATCTCGATGCCACATGTCCAACCGGGCAGGGCATCAGAGGCCACGGCGCTGTTGGGCTCGCGTGTTCTCTTGGTTTCTCCGGTTGTAGCGCAACATTTGCAAAAATCTGAATTTTCCTAACATGTGCCACCGGGTCCGAGCCCACAAATCCTAGCCCACCCGCTACAGCTAAAGCTCAAAAATGAGCTTTGGACCCCAAGTTGGAACACAAGGAGTATGATGGTCGACATCCAAGTCGCCCCGGGCAGCTTTCAACACTTAGACGCTGCTTAGCGAAACATACGTCTCCAACGGCCTGAGCACATCCAAGCAAACCACGCCATCAGTCGATGCTCCATTTCTTATAAGGTTCTTCACGGAGGGGGGTATGTAAGCCAAGGTTCCCCAATACTCCCTACTGCTCCCTAAGGCTCTCTAAGCTTCCCGAAGGTTCCCTAGGTACCTACCCCCCATGAACGCCCCTCCTTTAAGAACCCTCGAAATTTCACAAACCCCCATGGGATGATTCTTTCCGTAACAAACATTTGATAAACAAGAATGTCGGCGCAGACCGGCCAGGCCTTAAACAATCAAAACTGCAGCGCAGGACCAATTTAAGAGCATTTGGGTAGCTTTCCAAAAGCATGCCTGGAGCGTTTCGTGACCACTCCACATAGCCACCAGGGCCAAAAAGACAAACACCATTCTGCACTTCACGAAATATACGTGCGACCGGCGTGGGCCGAGACACACAAGGGCGACATGAAGCAAACCAATCCAAAAATCTTAAATGCTGCAAAGTATGCGCCAGACTTTTGTCGTGATACAAAAAAACACTTGTTGCCACACTGCTTCGGGAAAACAACCCCAATGAGCTTATCAATGTGCAACAAGAGAACCGCAGAAATCACGGAAAAAAATCTCAACCAGTCATCGCAAAATCTCGTGTGGGATCAAGGCCAAAGGAAGAAACGGCGACAATGAAACATCACATGGACAACGTACAAACCAGGCTTGTCAGCAGCAGGGAAGGAAACAAACAACAGATGCCAACTGAACAACATTCACCCTCACACGCGCACTTGCTCCCTTATTCACGCCCCCATTCGCTCAAACATGCAAGAAGCAAAACCAATAGGAAAATGAACAAACAAAATGCTTGAGCATCCTTGCGTTTGTTGCATGTGTTTTTGTCACTGGTGTGTCTTTTGTTTTCTTCTTGCTCTCGTTTACTTGTTTTCTCTCGGTCGCCTCGGTAGTGATTGCTTGCTGCCGGTGTTCTTCATATTCAGTCGAGGTTGATTGCCGTGTTTGTTTAGTTGCTTCTTTGCATGGCGCATGGTCTTGTGCTGCCCTGGGCCTTCAACAAGCAATGTCGAAACAACGCGTCTTGCGGCAATGAGGCAGGCACGAAGGCTGCAGCAGCACCTTGGTCTACAGCACGAGGGCTGCAAGGTTGCTATCAACACTGAACTTCCAGCGGCTAGCTCAAAACGCAATGAACAACACGCAACTTGGCCCCGGAGCCATGACGCAAACCCATCGCCAAAGTGGAACACCTGAGTGAACGAGTGAACGGGAATGGTTTCAACCGCAGGGCAAACAACCTATAGATCGCGGAGGGTCTGAGACCGCGGCCATTGCAAACCCACTGAGTAGGGAAACTCGTCATGGTCCCACACAGCTGAAAGCCAAAGCTTGCAACATCGAGCCTTGCCACGTGCCCACATGTCCAAATCAGTTTTCAGACTCGGGTGGGGGAAGCTCTGCAGCAACAACATTAAACATCAAAGCACTGTGACTGCATTCGAATTACCTCCCAGTTCTCGGTGTTTTTTCGCGCTCGGACTTTCGCGCCTGCATGATGGGAATCTTCCCACCCTACTGCACATCACGGCGCCGGATCCTTTTTCTTGCGCCTGCGCTTGTGGGTCCCACGATCCGGGGGCGGGGCAGGGCGGCGGGCTGGCGCATGCAGGCGGTCGGTTCACCCCACCAGCGAGTGTGAGCTCAAGCAGGGCGCTCGCCATCAGCGCCGCCCATCGTGCCACATGTGCCACATCAGCGGACCGCGCGGCGTGCAAAAAAACGCAACAGCGTCGCCGCTTCAGCCCCACATGCCAAAGAAGCCGACAACAACGAAGCGGCAGCGGCGTGCCCTTGTAAGCTCCGGGGAGGGCGGCGCTGTCAACGGCCCACCCTGACTGGGAGCTGGCAGGCAGGCGGGGTTCCCCTGACCGAGTGACAGACGATGGCGGCTAGGGCGAGTTTGCCCCATGTAGAGCCTTTTTACATCCAGGCCTCTAAAGTCTGCTGCTGACAGAAAGGCACAATGCAGTCGTGGCTAGGGAACTACACATGCAGCATGACACGCATGATCACATGGGCCTTTTTTTCTCGCGCACCCTTTTTCTGCTGCATGTCCTCGTTGAGGTCGGAGGTCGGGGGGGACGGGCGTCACCTCCGCGGCGGCACGTGGCTGAGCGCAGCGTGAAGGGGAAATGAATGGTGGTTTGACTGTGTGAAAAAAGCTAAAACCTATGTAATTTATGAGGCCCTTTTTTGCCTCAGTTACATAGTTTACAGGCTCACTACGTTCTCTCCTTTATTAAAATTATGTTGTTTTTTATGTTCTTAATATTTTACAGATAATTCGCTTAATAAACACCTGTTGCATTCTATCTCTTCTCCTTTCATGATATTATTGCCGCATTCATTTCACTCATGCGTACATTGAATATCTTTTGTGCATGAACAAACCAATCTGAAAGTTGTTTCGTGTTCACTTCGCACACACCCTTATGAAGCAGGCTTCTTCCCGTGCTGCTCCTCACCTAGCTTCGCAGTGCTTCGTTCTAGGGCCAGTGTGCGCTCCACAAGTTTTGCCATCCCAGAGTGCAAAAGTTGAGGGATCGTGCACATAGGTGCTTCGGCTTGGCCTGGACGGCACAGATGATGTAAAGCTTGCCACGCTCGTACAAGCTCGAGGACAATAAAATTTCACTGCAGGATACCGCGTCGCCTTGGGGTTAAGGTGGCATGCAGCATGCAGGGATGGGAAGGTGAGTATATACATGAAGTGTCAACAGCGACTGAGTGAGTGAGTGAGCGAAATGGTCGACGGACGTTACTGCGGCCGACACCAAATCCCCCCCCCCGGCATCGCAGAGCAGCTCCGAAGATGTCATCGCCGCTTTCCGTGAAGGGTTCGAAATGGCGAATGCGACCAAGCTTCCTTGAGGGCACAGTGGCCCCAGAGCCAATGGGCTCGAAGTGAGCGCGCGTAAAAAAAGGGTTGCGTAGGAGTATAATGGGGATACATCTTACAGCTGAGGGCGGCGCGAAACACACCAGAATACGATTAGCCTGACAAGCTGCTGAAAAAGCCGTTTATGGCCAAAAGGGTAGGCCCCACGAGACTGAGACAGAACCTGCACGGCCTTGCTGGAGCAGAGAAAACGAGCAAGGGCCCAGACGCCCGGTTTGGAGTTGCAGAGGTGGGTCTGGTCCCGATGTGGACGTCAGACAGGCGTGCGGAAACAACAAATATTTACTCTCCCGCCTCGAAGAATGCGTGGAGGCCAGACCCCTTTTACGGACAGGTGGGCCGTCGTCCAGTATGTTGATGCTGCGCCTCCGCCGTTCCCCCTGCTTGCTGGCACCAACTCTGAGGTGTACGTCCCGCTCTTGCTTGATGCTGCGGGGGTGGTCCCAGCGGCCATCAGCCAAGAGCTCATGCAGCGGCGGCGCTGCCTGCTCCCCGTGCAGCTCGGCAGCGGGCGGGAGCTCGAGCAAGGAACTCGCGTAGGCGCGCTGGGACGCGACAGCGAGCAGTGCAGCCCACCGTGCGACCCAGGCGGCCTGCGCAGCCGGTCGGAGGTGTGCCGGCACGGCGGCGGCACGCTGACGGGCGAGCAGGCGCAGCAACATCGCAGCCTCTGCCACAAAGCGGCCGCCGACCTCGACGCCGACGACGACGAGGCGGCAGCGACGCGCCCGCGTGAGCTCAGGGTAGGTGTCGCGTCGCTTGCGTCTGGCGGCATTGTCAACGGCCCAGCCGGGCTGCGTGTCGGCGCGCGGGTGGGGGTCGCCGGAGCGGGTGACCGGCGAGACTATGGTGGCGTCGAGGGCGAGTTGGGCCCCATGCCACAGTGGGAGGCCGTTGGCGACGACCTCGATGCGCCGCCCGTCCGTGACCGGGACCTGGACATTCATGTCAGCGACCCGGAGCCGTGTCCTCACGCTCCAGGGTGCCCCTATCCGCACGGCCATGCGAGCAGGCCTGGAACTGATATCGGAACGCACGTCGCCTCAACTGGAGCTCCGGGATGCTCCGGGGCTGGAAGCTCTTCCTTCTTGCCCCGCGCATGGTTTCGCATCGGACAGCCGGTGCGACGCGCGTTGCGCCGGGCGAGCTTGTGCGCCGTTGCGAAGCTTTCGAGTGGCCCCTTCCCTCCTCCAGGCTGCCTCGCGCACTGCCCCGCATGAGGCTGCCCGAAATGTTCCTCCTTTTATGCTGATCCCGAAGCTCGGGCGGCACGATCCCGAAACTCGGGCGGCACGTGGCGGCTCTAGTCCATTTCGGCGAGCTCTCAGCTGCGGGCCGGGCCCTCGTTGCTGAGCCCGCCACCGACGCCACCCTCGCAGAACTCCACCCGAACCGTACGACCCCATGCCGTCTGAGATTGCTAACTTTGTTCCGCATGAGCCGTGCCCCTTTTCTT